TAGTTTTCACCTCCAATTTTACCTACTAATTTCTAACATGCATTAATAAAAAACCTAATGTCCCAAAAAAACAACAAACTACATTTTTCTAAATGTAGTAATTTTCTATTAGAACCCTGCAAAAAATTTCAATTCTTATATCCTATCTAAATGGTGGTTTTATGAGAACTTAAAAAAAATTTTACACAGAGGACATAGTGGAGGTTAAAAAAAAAAAAACTACATTTCATTAGTCACCAGCTTGATTCCATCACCCAAGCACCCTCAACTAAGAGCCCCACTCCCATTTGGCAACCACCACCACCAAAAACTACCAACACTACAATCAAATCTCAATAAGCCACATCACCACCCATTGTCGACAACCCAAAACCCAAAAGAAACCACAAGCCACTGCCATTCCCACTAAAACAAAACACCCCAATTCACTACTAAGAACACTACACGACACCATCATAACAAACTTAAAGCCACCCTATCACAGAATGTCCATCTAAACAGCATAATTGAGCCAACAATAACGCCTTCACCCACCACTCAAACCCACACATGACCATCTTTAAACTACCTAAATACCAAAAAAAAAAAAAAAACCCATTTGCCAAAAATGCAAACAAATAATCAAAAATCAACCAACCTTAAAAAAATCAAATAAAAATTAATAAAAATCACATCCTCGAAGAGAACAACATTAGTAAAGAAAAGAAAAAAATTTCAAAATAAAAGAAGAAAGCAAGTTTCGGTTAAAAATGTTTGGAAGGGTTTTGAGGCTTGATTTTTGGAGAAAGATAAGGCCTTGGTAAGGGGATGAACATACTGAAAGTACATCATGTTCGAATTGGTGGAGATTGAGATTTTTTAGCTTGAAACTGAAATTTTTTGCCTAGATCTAGGACTATAGGAGGAGTTTTAGGCAAAACCAAGTAGAAAACAAAAAAGATTAAGAAGAAAGGAATTTTTTTTATTTTAAAAGATTTTTTTGATACCGATGATTGACAACCGAATAACTACAAATGACAACTGACATGGTGGTTTCCTACGATTAGTGTCAGTTTTTGGATTTGGGACCCATCGGTTTCTAGGAAACTCTCATAAAAGGAAAAGCTCTTTCTTTAGAAAGAGAAAAAAAATTGCTTAAAAACTGCTACTAAAGCAAAATAAACCACTTGAACCACTGGTGGACCATTGAGCCGTCATTTGGATTGCCCGAATCATGTACCAACTTTGAGCGATCTTTTTAGGATAATTTTTATTTTGTATTTTAAAAAAATTTTAAATATATTTTTGTTAAATGATTTATTTGTTTATATATGCATAATTAATTTTTAAATTTTTAGATTAAATGAATATTATTTAAAAAAAAAAAAAAACAAGTACAAAATTTTTAAATAGAAATGGAGACATTTTTCAATGATGAGATTTTAAGAAAGTCCAAGAAGTGATTCCTAAGAAATTTTTAGATAAAATTTTTTTTTTGAAATATTACCAAAGTATTAAAGTATTTAAGATAACTTTCAATAATTTTTTTTTTACCTTTTCTTTGTAAAAAATTAAAATTGAATTTTTATAAAAGATAAAAACTAAAATATTATTTAAATTAAATTGTGAGCATCATACTTTATTACATCCATTAAAGATAAATATGAACTGTTGAATATAAGATTTTTGAAAAGTCTAAGTAACGGTTTTTAAAAAATTCTTAAGTGAAAAAATTTCTCTTAATATTGTCAAAGTATTAGAATATTTTTTTAAAAATTTCAATATACAAGGTTCTTATTTATTTTTTTAGCAAAATATTAAAAAGTAAAAAAAGTTTTTTTTTTTTTTTGCAATAGAAAAATTAAAGAAATTATTTTAAAATATCAAAAGTAAGATCACTTTTATCAATGTTAAAAGATAATACGTGATTAATTGATAACATTCTTAAAACGGACACTATAAAAGTATTAATTCTTCTCTATGCATAACCATATTTTATAATTTGACTTTATTTGCACAGACCCCAAAATTATTTTTAATAAGTTTTAATTAATTTTAAAATGATAAAATTTTTAGATAATCAATCACACTTATCATTAAAATTTGTGATAACTTTTTCTATTGTAGTTTTTAAAATTCTTCTACTGATCCTAAAATCGTTGTAACAATGATAGTGACATTTTTGGAGTAAAAAACACCACTAAAATTTCATAATAACAGCGTTTATCAAATAATTGACATTGTATTTTATCTAACGTTTAAAATTAATAAAAATAAATAAATTACATGATTAGATATTGAACTTTGACAAAAGACTTATTTTGGTGATTGAACTCTAATTTATTCTGACAAAGCCACTGAAGATTATCTAATATGTCAAATTTAATCATCCTAATAAAATTCGTCCATATAACTAGCGCTGTCACATCAATTGCCACCTTAGTTACCACATCCACGTTTTTTTTTCTATTCCATAAACATTCCCCTCTTCCTTTTTTTATTGGGTTATATGGTTAATGAATTATATAATTAACCCAATTGTTAATTTATTGTGTTAAAAATCATTTTGGTTTACATGGCTGAATTTCTTAGCTCCTTTTTAGGTTATCTTAACCTTCATCTGCAGTTGCCAATCAATTAGGGCTATCCCCCCTTAGAACTACTAAAACTTTAATTTTATTTATCGATGTGTAGATTTTGTTATTAAAAAATTTAAATACTAATTTCTCTTATTATTCTTGAAAAATAATTTTTTAATAGATTCGAAAATATTATTAAGTAACCCAAACGTGTTATTTTGCTTTTTTATTTCTAGAAACATGGGGGCAAATGTTGAGGCAATTGATTTTGTTTTTGAGTCAGTTTGACGGAGAGTCGAGTTGATGAACAAGAAATATGCCATTCGACAGTTCCCTGATAAAGGTAATTGTGACCACCCCAAAACTTGTTATGCTGGAAAGTTACAGAAGAATGCCACTGAATGTCGTAATCGGGCTTGGCAAAATATCTGTAGGAATTAACCATTTAAAATTTATTGCTTGTAGTACAAATATATGAATCTTTTGTAATAACAAAAGACTTTCCCATTGATTTATAAATTCAATGCTACCAAGTTGCAACATCGCATGTGCCTCATGATTTTTCTTTTCTTTTTAGTCATGTTTACTGTATGTATTTGAACATGTTTTATTGCCAAAATAGCTTGTGTCTTACCCATAAGGGGTTAATCTAGTTGATAAAAGGAGAAGTTTACTTTGGTTGTTAACCTGGGTTTGATCTTTGTGGGAAGCATTTTAGGAGTGAAATCTTGAATGCATCAAATTGGTGTGAGAGAATAGGATTGATTGTCTGAGAACAAAAATTAAGCTTAGAAAAATTTTGAGAGATATCCTTATGTGTATTACCAAAAAGATAATATGTGTCTTAACATTTATACTTCTTTTGATAAGAAAAAAAATAAAGATATAAAAAAAAAGTTTTAATATAATGGTTAAGCTATGTAACAGCATATGTTATTTAGCTTAACCATTAGATTAGAATATTTTCTTTTTTTCTCTCTTTTTTCTTCCTTTTTCCTTCTTATCAAACTGAAAAAAGGCTATAATAAACAGATATATTTCTCTATTGAAGCCTATGTTTGGATTGAAATTAGAAAAGGGAAAAAAAAGAAAAGGAAAAAAAAATGATAGTTCATTCCCTTGTTTGGATAAATGAAATGAGTAAAAGTAAAAAAAAAAAAAGGATTAATTATAACTTTGTTTGGTTAAGTTGTGAAAAGGAAAGGAAAAGAAAAGAAATATTATATTATATTACTTCAATTACACCCTTTTAAAATAAAATAAAATATTTTTTCTATATGTGAATAATCTTTATATTAACTATTTTAAAAAATTTTGAAAATTAATAAAAGTAATTTCAATTAAAGAGAATATTATTAATAATTAATTCATAAAAAATATATGTTTAAAATTATTTTTATACTACAATTTTCTTTTTCAAAATGAATCTATAAATGAGAGAATTAAAAACTTAAATATTTATTATTAAAATAAAATTAACCATAAATTTGTTTAAGTATTAGCATTTTTCTATCGTTTTACATGTTTTGTCATATTTTTTATTTTTATTATTTAGAATTTGTAAAGTCATAACAAAATGAAAAAAAATAAAATTAAGACTTAAGTATAAATTTAAAATATATAAAATTTAAAGTTATTAACAAAAAAATAGTTGAGAAATGAGTTGTAAAATATTTAAAGGTAACATCAATGGTTAAGCTTGAATGTTATAATAATATTCTTTGAAAAATCATATACTCTTCATCCTAAATTGTTTAGGTAACATGGACTTTCACAAAATTTAAAAAAAAAAATTGACTTTAATTTATTTAATATTAAAATCAAAATTTTTTTTATAAAATTAAGTCCCATGACTTTTAATGTCCAAAAGTAAAAAAAAAAAATCATAAAATATAATTTTAAAATATAAAAAATAAAAATTTTATATGTTTAAAAAAATAAAATATATATATAATTTTAAGCATCCCAAAAAACAAAGATAGACAAAGAAAATGGAATAGATGGAATAAAATATGATAAGGACATAAAAGTTATTTTATATTTAAAAAATTTTAATCATTTCCTTTATTTCCTATTTACCCCAATTTGGGGTAATTAAAAATTGGAGTTTTTACCCATTGGATAATTAAAAATTGAAGCTTTCAAAAATAAGGGAGGAATGTTTAATTTCCTTTCCTTTCTTTTATTAAAATGTAAATATAAACCAGACAAAGAAAAGATTTTCTAATTTCCTTTGCTTTTTTTTTCTTTCCTTTATTGTCCCTTTCCTTCTCTCAATCCAAACACAACGTAAAAGTCAGGTTTGAGCATGTTTGACTTAGTTTAGTTGATGCATATATTTTTATTCAAAATTGAAAAATCAAATCTCCTTTCACAGATAAATTCGAATTTTTCTTGTTTTAAAAAATAAAGTTACCTAAATTGATTCTCCAACAATCAGGAAAAAAACATATGAATTGCTTGATTTAATAAATCAAAGTTAGGGGACACTTCAAAGGTTCAAACAAATGAAGAGGGAATGAAGCAAATTAAGAAGTTGGCGAACATGGTTAATGCAGTTTAGGATTGTGATACTCCTTCTTCATCTGCAGAAAAAAAGGGCTCATCCTCTGATTCATGCTCCTTCATTGCTTCAAGCTGATCTTTCCTTGGGTTAGGCTCATGTCCCTGTGATTCGTTGGTGACATGTTTGAACATCTGGGCGTGGGGCATCTGGTCTGCAAGTTTCTTATCATCTTTGACATTAATCATTCCGACGGACTTGGTTGCGACATGACTTTCATGCAAAACTAAATGCCCATGTCCAAAAGGGTCAGAAAAAGACGATATTCAAAAGGGAAAAGGGATGAAATTAGAAATATATATTATAAATATGTGGACAAAAGGAAATTAAAAAAAAAAATTAATGGCTCAGAGAACTGACCTTGATCTTTGGACTGGGTGCATCCCATCTCTGTTCTGCCTCCTGATTCCTCTTTGCCTTTCTCTTTCCTTTTCCACAAACAACCTGAAGGAAAATTTTGTTGGTATTTTAAATATTGGATTCCAATGTTATAAAAGATTATAGTAGTTTGATTTAGAGCATGATATGGAAGATTCAGTGGAATAGTGCGTGGTTAATTTAGCACTAACATTTACTCCAAATGAAAATAACGATTCTACCCATTTGGTTTCATTGGTGTTACAATGAAATTTTGATAAGACTTAGCTACAACCACACAATTTTAATTCACATTAAATGCATAAAAATCATTTTAAATATATTATTTGGACAAATTTTTATTTTTGCTTCATAAAATTTTAATAGAATTAGATTCAACTTTCTTTTTTAATTATATTAATAGGATTTCCAAATAATATATTTAAAATAAATTTATGTTTTGTGATCTTTCCAATTAAATCGAAACTAGAAAGAATGTTTGTTTGAAAACTTTTTTTTTTTTTATAATGCAATTCGTGTAAGACCGTGCCGTCTTACATTGATTTGGTCAAATCAAGATTTTATTCACGAAATGTTTCTTATAAGGATCTAACCTGACTGTCAAGGAATGGTAACTCGTTTCCTTATCAATTGAATTACCCTTGTGGTCGAAAACCTCTTTTTCCTTTTAAATCAAAACTTGAGGGATATTTCAAAAAAGAAATTAAAAAAAAAAAAACTTGAGGGATATTTTTAGGTTTAAATATAAAAAAAATTAAACTAATATTAGATAATAGATAATCATCTAAGACCTCAAGTATAATTTGAACCCCTCAAATATCTATTTTTACCAATTTAAACTCTTAACTGAACAAAAATATTTTCACCTATTTGAACCCTAATTGAACAAAAATTGGTTAAATATCGTCATAGTCTAGTAGCCTAAATGACCAATTTCCACCTAATTGATGATTTAATTAAGTGAAAATAAATATTTGAGAGTTTACTTGAGTGAAAATAAATATATCTCGTTCCCACAATTTAAATAACAAATGAAATTCAAATCCACTCTTTCAAATTCCTTCCAAAAATAGCACAGTGCATTGTCAAACTTCTCATGACTTATTTACTCACTGAAATAGGAAGGATTATTCACTAGGAAACCAGAAGCCAGCACTGCTCCTTCAGAAATAGGTAGAAACAATCAAGTTGGAAGATGGTGTATTCTCTCCCAACAAAATGCTGACAAATATGCATTTGAGAAACTAATTATCAACTTTATAGAATCCATGATATTTCAGAGCTGCAACAGATTACATCCATATATAAATGTCTACCATCAAACACTAAATTTATGTAAGTGCAGTTTAATGATTTTTAAGAGTGTATGATACACAATATAAAGACTACTATGTACGATTATAAATTCTTGTTTTACATAATAATTCCAGCTAGCCAAAGCATGTTAACCCTTTCAGCGGGTTCAGCTGTGCATTTATATCAAAACTATGACATGAATTCCCTTAAGGCTAATCTCTCTTCATACCTCCCTAATGAGTAGGCAGTGCTAGGTACCTCTGTTAAGTGAAGAGGATCTGGTTCAATGCCATAATCTGTTAGCGGTCGGTGCTCAAGAACTTTGTCATGGTTTTGCACAAATTCAGGAATCTCAACCTCTCCCTTCTTTATATCATCCCATAGGTATTGTAGGCGGCTTACATACTTGATCTTCCAATATAAACTGGGAAAATGGATTTAAGAAGTTAATGCAAAAATATGGCCAGAATAATTGCAAATCTATGACCTCTAACAGATAACTGTGACACCATTGCACCATTACCAACTACCAAGTAGGCTCCTTATTCTATTTGTTGCTATTTAAGAGCATAAGTTAAGAAACTGCAACAGTTTTTATGCAGTTTCAAGATCACAAAAGAAAGGATTTGCATCTAATGTGTTGACTCCTTTAAGAATATTGTGAACATAGAAATATTTCAGCCAATATGACTGGTTTGTTTAGACTACTTAAGTCTAATTGACAGAATAAAAGAGGGATGAAGAAGGTTTGATATGTAAATTCAAGAATCAGAAGAAAGCATTTTCATCTGACTAAAGTTAAATTATTAGATAGCTACAAGTGTAAATTAGATTATGTTCTTGCAACATTCAAAGCAACTTACCCTCCACTTAAGAAAAATCGGCCAAGAGTGGCAAAGACAAGCCTTGAACGAAGCCCAGGGTGTATGAAGTAGATGACTTGCAGCCTATCCTTGATCTCAGAGGGAAGTTCTTCATAAATCCACCTCAAGATAGTAATACCAGGTGAGTTATCCTCCTTTTGCACCGTACTATGCATATAAACTATGCAGAATGGACCTTCAGGCAACTCATTGTGTATCTTCTGGAATATATATCTCTTCAGTCGATCCCCACTAACAACTGGAGCTGCATATCATGAAGAAGCAAGTACTTGATAAAAAGCCAAATAAAAATTTCCTAGAAGAACACCTTAAACCTACTGAAACTCTATAAAATTTGTTCAAATTGGAATTATCTCATGGAGACAAATCAAGAAAGCATCAATTAACACAAAATGAAATCACTATCAATATCGAACTCTTCCAAGAACTGAAATGCACATCATATTGAGCCGCATATCAAGAGTGCAACTAATGGAAAGTAGAATTCTGACATACCTGAATGCATTGCATTTGGCAGACAGGATAGTGGAGAGGATAAAATGTTATAAGATAAGCAAAAGTATATGACCAGATGATCTTATCCTATCTCATGTAGAGTATAAAAATTAAAAAAAAAAAGAAAAGAAAAGAAAAGAATTATCATTAATCTCATCCTAAGCCATGTTTGTTGTAGAATAGGATAATGTTTTAGTCATTGGTCAAAATTAGCCCTCCCGATAGGCCAACACAAATTTTTTAAAGGAAAATGGAACTTTTAGGATGACCATAATAATATCACTTTTAACTAAGATTAGGTAATTATCATCTAAGAGGATGAATTGTCCGATTTCTCATACAATCATAATTACCAAACCTAATATAAGATTATTTTTTTATTAAATAGAGTAAAGTAGTTGAGATTTTGACAGCTCAATTTCAAATCATCGACATGTTTGCACTGTTCAGTTTCAAGAATCGAACGCATTCGCCAAATTCATTTCACAATGTTCCCTAGTGTTGAAGGCTTTCTAATTAAACTTACTGAAAGTAAAATAATTATTAAAAAAAAAAAAAAAGCTAAAACTTCAACCATGTAAAACCCAAAATTGAAAAAGAAGAAAAAAATTATTGAAGGAGTCGTTTGTTTATTTACCGGGAAAGTACTTTCCGACGATGCGGAAGATGCGATTTCCGGATTTATCAGATCCCTCGAGGCGGAAGAGCTGGAGGAAATCCAGATCGGAGAAATCTTCATCGGAGAAATCCTGAGAACAATCATGCCAGTTGTCTTGGTCTTCGATTTCTCCGTCATGCTTCGCTAAGAAAGGACGGGCGTCTATACCCAAATCTGAAGCAAGCACCACCACCGAGAAATCATCATTTGACGAACTTCCCATTCTTATTCTTCTTCAATTTCTTTTGGTCTTCCTCACCAGTTTCTCACACTTTCCTTCACACACGAAACAAAACCTGCCTTATCACTTTTCAGGTATCGATTCCAACCCAAGCGTAGTTGGGCTGACCTACAATAGGTTTTTTTTTTAGTAGCTTTCTTCAAGTTATCCCCACTCATCCATACAATACCAACTAAAATTTGGCATATTCGAAGAGTAATTGAAGTTTTTAATTATATAATTTAAAATCACTTTTAACTTTTGACGATTATGCTATTTTATTTTTTAAGGGTTGTTTAGAACTTTAATTAACTTTAATTCTTGTATTTGAGTTATCTCAATTTAATATAATAGAGATATTTGAAATTTTTGTACATAATTTTGTACCACCTAGGATATGGTATAAAAGATAATTTTGAGGATAATTGAAGTTTTTAATTATATAATTTGATATCACTTTTGATTTTTAAAATATATTTTTGGATTTATTGGGTTATTTTGTTTTTTAAGGGTTGATTGTTTAGACTTTTAATTAACTTTAATTTAAATATTTGAGATCTTAATTATTTTTCATGAGATTCATTTAGGTTTATGACTAATTTAATGGGTTAAATTTAAATTTTTTAACCATCAATTAAGGAATTTTGGTAAAGATGTTTCTTAAAATATGAGAAGGAATTTGATTAATAATTAATGCTATATTTTATTAGTTTTATTAATTTGTTACATGTATATATATTCTCATTTTTATTTTATTTTTATATTATTTATATTATTGTATATGCATAGACTTTATTATATAATTTTTTATTTAGATTTTATTTATACATTATTTATATTTATTGATTGATATATTTTGTTTCGATGAAAGCATACAAAATTTTTTTTTTCGCAACAAAGCGCAAGTTTTCATTAGTATTTATAGATAAATGACACATGAAGAATTATTTCACTTTTGTATTATAATTTTTTAAATAATTAATTATAATAAAAATGTATAAGAAAAAATTATTTATAAGTTTTATAGATTTTATATAATTTTAAATTATAATTGATTAATTATATTTTAATATTTACAATTAATATTCTTCCCATTTCACATTCTTCTAACTCAATAATGTTTTTTTTTTTTGACAAATTAATCTAAAAAAAAACTCTTTAGTAAATATATTTTTTTAAAATAGTAAATATTTTGTTATATCCATTTCTCTCTTTACTAATAGTTTAAATACTAAGAGTTTTTGAATAATTTATAGTTGTGTATATTGTATAAAATGCACAATGGTGGGGGTACATATATATATATATATATGTATATATATATATATATATATATATATATATATATGAGCTATCTACTATAGGAAGAAACTAAATAGTGATTGGAGTTAAAAGAAACTCATTAGTAAATGTAAGGATAAAAATAAACTAAATTTTTAAGATTTCAAATGAAAATATTAAAATATGAGTTTTTTAAAGTTTTTGTAAATTCATGACAAACAAATATTAAGAGATAGAAAGAATAAGTTTTTTATTTTTATAACTTAATCATGAGTATCTATAATCTTTATATCAATTTAGGACGTGTTTGATGATTACATCATGACACGAGTCATTTTTATTTTATCATATCATCTTTAAAGATAATAAAATAATATGAAAATATAAGATTTCAATTCGATCTAATCTTATAAAAGTTTTTTTAAAATTGATAGGGTCATTTCCATGCAATTTTTTTAAAATGAAATAAAAATGAAGGCAGTTTTAAACTAATTAAATATTTATTATGATATGTGAGTTTTTTTTTTTCAACACTTAATTATTAAAATTTCTCTTCCTCAAAAATACCTTTAGTCATCAACAATTAAACAAACTAAAAATATATAAACTTTTCATAATAACAAACCCAAAAAAAAAAATCAATTTTAAATAAAGAAACCAATTCTCCCATCTTTCTCTTAGATCTAGGATAGTCTAATTGGATGGAAAGGTAAAAAAAGAAAAAAGAAAATTTTAATTGTTTTTAAAAGTTTTCTAACTTTGGTGAGTGGCGGTTGGAATGGCGCCCGAAAGGGGTGAGAGAGTTCGAAACAATAATTGATCGTCAAATTTTGGAAATTAAGTGGCGGTCGGAAGAAATGTTAGGGAAAGAGGAAAGTTGTTTTATGTTGTTATTATGAAAATTATATATTTTGAGATTTTTTATTTCTTGATGATTAAAGGCATTTTTTGGGTTAGAGAAATTTTAATGCTTATGTGTTGAAAAAAAATCTCACGTTTTATAATAAATGCCACGTCAGCTAAAAATAAATTGATTTAATCCAATTAATTTGTCCCATCACTAAAGTTAAACGTTGCATTAGCAAAGCCAATAAATCCACATGATCAGCTGTTTTATTTAAAAACCAACTAAAATATCACAAATAAAATCAATGATCATATCAACATTTTAAATGAGAATATTTAACAGAATTAATGATTAAACTAAAATTATTAAATTAAAATAGTATAAGAATTAAATTTATATGAATTATACTAAAAAGGATCAAATCTCAAATTTCGATTAAATACAAAGACTGATGACATAATTTGATACGATGCAAATGACTAAATTTTATTATGATCAAATTATGCTAATAATTTTTGTATTCTCTCGAAATTTGAAATTTAATTTTTTATCATAATTCATATAAATATAATCATCAAACTATTTTGATTTGATAATCATAATCCAATTATTAATTCTGTCCATTTTTACCATTAAAAAGGCTAATGTAGCTGTTGACTTCATGATATAACCGTTGACTTTATTTACATAGTATTTTGAAATGCCAACAATTTTTGTATTCTTTTGAAATTTAAAATTAAGTCACTTTATTATTATTCATATAAATCTAATATTTATAGTATTTTAATTTGATAATTTTAGTCCAATTACTTACTCCCTCCCATTTTTGCCATTAAAAATGTTTACGTCACTGTTAATTGAATGATGTAGCTATTGACATTGCTTATGTGGTATTTTGATTGGGAAATATTTGGGTCAATGCTGGCATGGATTAAATGACATGCCTCATGGTCTTACTTTTAATCCACTAAAGATTTAAACATTTTATTTCTTTTTTCTTTTTAAACCTTAATAATCAAATTTTATTTAGTTAAACATTATTAAAAAAAAAATTTGAAAAGAACACTAAAATCCCAAATCACTAGCACTCATTCTCAAAGTCTAAAATCCCTGTCACTTACCATTATTTGCACATTCTTATTCTTAAATGGCTTTAAACTTCACGATTAACTTCAAAAATCAATTTTAATATATCAAAATGCACATTCAATTCATAACAAATAGTTACTACAGCCAAAGAAATGCCTTTCAAGATTCTCATTACTTATTCGGTCTAGAGTCGCCACTTTCAGAATTTTGAATAACTCTCTATCCCTTCTTGAGCACTTTCAAAATTTTGAATAGCTCTTTTTCCCTAGTTGAGTAAACTTAAATTGTCTGAACAACTGCCTTTCTCTTGCTAGTAGTGGTTTCAGGTAAGAATAGGATACCTTAAACACCTACGATTAAGGTTGATTGGACAAGATTTTGGATTTAGGGACTGCATGCTAGTGATTAAGTGTTTGTTTTTTCAGAGTTGTGTTTTTTAGTTATTAATGTTTAATGAAATAAATTTTGATTATTAAGAATTAATAAAAAAGAAATAAAAAGTTTAAATCTAACATGGATAAAAAGTAAGGCTGCATGGCATGCCATTTAATTCATGTTAGCACTTGTCCAAATATTTACCAATCAAAATGCCAATTAAAATCAATGATTATATCATCGGGTAAATGGTCATGTTAGTATTTTTAACAACAAAAATTGGATGGAATTAGAGATTGAATTTTTATTATTAAATCAAAATATTATGAGGAGTACATTTATATAAATTAAAATAAATTGACTAAATTTCAAATTTTTATATAATATAAAATCTGTTGGCATAATTTGATCAATATTCATTAATCATAAAACACTTAAGCAAAATCAATGGTCACATTATCAAGTCAAAGATCACGTCATTAGATTAGCGATGACGTTGTTCAATTAATGATCATGTTAATATTTTTAATAAAAAAATTTATTAATTGAATTAAGATTATCAAATCAAAATAATATAAATATTATATTTATATGAATTATAGTATAAGTATTAAATTTCAAATTTCAATAGATTACAAGGATTTGTTATAATTTGAAGTTTTATCATTGTTTAATTTCGTTGATTTTTAAATAAAAATAATAAAATTAAAATATTTATTAATGCAAGTGATAAATTTATATATTTTTGGTGGTTTATGTAAAAAATAATAAAATTAAAAATACAATGAGAAGTTTTTAAAACTTAAATTTTAGTGAATAATTTCAATATTTGATAAAATAATAACAAATTTGATTTTCATCTTTAAATTTGTATGATTTTCGAAAATTTTGATAATGATCCACTTTGCATTATTGTCCGTGAAAGGAAGATTATTGGTTGACTGGGGTTGAGAAGAACACGTGGATGCCCATCCATCCATAAAAGTAAATTATTGTTTTTTTAGCAAATAAACGTGTTGCCTCCACTTTCAGATGAAAAATTAGAAAAAAATCTTAAGAATTTTACAAAAGAAAAAAAAATATAAAAAGCAAAAAAAGCAGAATCGCCTCTTCCCTTTGTCGCAGAGAACGGACCACACAAGCTTTACCTGTTGTCACATATAATCTCATTTCAGAAAGCTCCAAAAGTGAGCCATAATAGCTTGGTTTTCTCTCCATTTCTCAAGTTCATTTACATATTCTGGTGAGTTTTTTCTTTTCACTCTTCAATCATCTTTCAGATTTGGTTAATGGCTTCAATGGCTCAACTTCTAGTAGTAATGGCCTAGAAGTGTCCATGGCTTATTTAGTTCCAAAACCTTTGATGCAGTTAATTTTCTGAGTTGGGAATTTATGAAAAGAAATTTTTCTTCAGAAACGCGAAGACCCTTTGTTGGAATCCATGGATATTTTACTAAGAACACATAGCAAGCTTGAATTTTTGCCTCAACTCCATGGGTTTTCTGAGAAAGCTTCTAACTTGAGCTCAGTTGGGATTCATTCCCAGGAGCTTAAGTTTGGTCCCAAGAAGTCCTATTTGAGAAGAGGTAGGGATAATGGTTGTGTTAAAATTAAGGCGAGTAATAGTGCTCTTTTGGAGTTGGTACCAGAAACTAAGAAGGAAAATTTACAGCTTGAGCTTCCTATATATGATCCATCAAAAGGCACTGTGGTGGATTTGGCTGTTGTGGGAGGTGGCCCTGCAGGTCTGGCTGTTGCCCAGCAGGTTTCACAGGCGGGGCTCTCAGTATGCTCAATTGACCCGTTTCCGAAATTGATTTGGCCTAATAACTATGGTGTTTGGGTGGATGAATTTGAGGCTATGGATTTGCTTGATTGCCTTGATACAACCTGGTGTGGTGCTGTTGTGTACATTGATGACAGAAAAAAGAAAGATCTTGATAGACCCTATGGAAGGGTTAATAGGAAGCAGCTGAAGTGGAAAATGTTGCAAAAGTGCATATCTAATGGTGTGAAATTTCACCAGGCAAAGGTTATTAAGGTTATTCATGAGGAGTCAAAATCTTTATTGATTTGCAATGATGGTGTCACAGTTCAGGCTACTGTTGTTCTTGATGCAACTGGATTTTCTAGGTGCCTTGTTCAGTATGATAAGCCCTATAATCCTGGCTACCAAATGGCCTATGGGATTTTGGCTGAGGTGGAAGAACACCCATTTGATGTAGATAAGATGGTTTTTATGGATTGGAGAGACTCACATCTTATCAACGATAAGGAGTTGAGAAAGAGAAACAGTAGAATCCCCACATTTCTATATGCAATGCCCTTCTCGTCAGACAGAATATTTCTGGAGGAAACTTCTCTAGTTGCTCGACCTGGAGTGCCTATGGATGATATCAAGGAGAGAATGGTGGCTAGGTTAAGGCACCTAGGCATAAAAGTGAAGAGTATTGAAGAGGATGAGCATTGCGTTATTCCAATGGGTGGGCCCCTTCCAGTGCTACCCCAAAGAGTTGTGGGAATTGGTGGCACAGCTGGGATGGTGCACCCTTCAACAGGGTATATGGTAGCAAGAACTCTTGCAGCTGCTCCAATTGTTGCAGACTCCATAGTTCGGTGCCTTGATCCAGGAACAAACTTTTTGGGAAACAAATTGTCTGCAGAAGTGTGGAGAGATTTATGGCCCATAGAAAGAAGGAGGCAAAGGGAATTCTTCTGTTTTGGCATGGATATTCTGCTTAAGCTAGATTTACCAGCAACAAGAAGGTTTTTTGATGCATTTTTTGATCTGGAACCCCGCTATTGGCATGGATTCTTGTCATCTAGGTTGTTTCTTCCTGAGCTCATAGCTTTTGGGCTTTCTCTCTTCTATCATGCCTCTAATGCTTCTAGGTTAGAGATTATGGCTAAGGGAACTCTGCCTTTGGTGAACATGATTAATAATTTAGTGCAGGATAGAGAATAAGATGATTAGGATATTATTTGTTGCATGCTTAAGTTGCGGAGTTTTCCCCTTAAATGTTGATAATAAACTGTGAATTGTTGTTTTATATAATCATGTTAGTAAAGTTACAAGGAAAAACACTCTAATTTCTTGTAGAAAATAACATTATTAGATTCATTGATATCTTCATTCATGTACATAAATATGTTGATCTATCAGGCCATTTTTTGACATCCTGCATTTTGCTAGAAGTCTTGCCCATTTATTTAGCAATGGTTTTTCATTAATCAACAATTGCTCTCTCGAAGATTTGCTAGTAGGAGCAAGAAGCAAGTAAAGATATGGGAATGTTGTGTCATATATTGTGAACGGAGATGTTAGAATGCATCAGTATGGTTTTGATGCTATCAGGCATTGTTAATCAGTATCATCAGTGTCCAACTTTGAGAAAGATACAAAGGCATGGTATATAAAAATGATGCTGTTGGCGGAAACTGCAGCCTGGAAGTATGGGAAAATACTTGTTAAATTGCATTGCTTTAATTTGGAAGATGTAGTTGTGGTAATTGCAGTTAAGTTTGCTTGTCTTGTCATCAACACAGATGTGCCATGAATATCTAGCTTGTTAAATGCAAAACAGGGATGGCTCTACTATAAATATATGGATGTCTTCATTTCTTGTGTTCCATAGATTTGGAGATATTCTTCTATGTTGGCAAACAAATTGATTCGGGCAATGTTGTATGCATTTGCTTGTAAGGTAATTTGAAAAGTATGTCTGGGGTACAAACATTGATAGGAAATTGGTTTTACATTATCACTAAAGTGATACTAGTGGATTCCAATTCTGCAACAGCATGGGAAGGCGGTTTCTGCTGTGTGCTTATTCGTGACCAACATCGAGGAAAGGGGTATATGAATGCCTTAGATCTAGACTTAAGACTTGGATAAGCACAAGTCTCCAGATCCAAAGCCTAGAATCCTTGCCCTGCGTGTTGTCTAGCAGCCTTCATGTTTTGAGCATAGCTCATTCTTGGCTGCCACAAACATAGAAGAAAATTTTAAATGAACGTGTTATACGTTGACCGCAGCGTCAGCTGTAACTTTGACTGCCTGCTTATTATCTGACAAGTCAATTAGTCACGTTATAATTTATGGCATATAAAAAGGTATAATTAGACAGGCAAGTAACACATTAATAACTCCTCCTCTCTCTACTTTTTCTATTTAAAACTAGTTTCTCGTTTAAGGTCGATAATTTAATCTATCATCGATAAATTTTGATCCGATCCGATTTTATGAGATTGATTTTTTTTTTTTTTTTCGAAATTCAAGTTTTGGATCGGATTGAATAAGATTATGAAATAATTATGATCAGGTTAGATTTAAATTTTAGATAAATTCGATTCTGATATTATATAAAAAATTATATTTTAATTAATTATTTAATTTTTTATTTATATATATATTTATATAATGATATTTTTAAATATTTATATTTTAAAATAATATTTTATTAATTTTGAGTCAAATCGAATACGATTTATATAATATCAAGTCGGAGTCGAATTCGAATATGAAAAAATTAAAAAAAAATTCGGATAAGATCGAATTTAGGACGAACAAAATCAATCCCGAATCCGACCCGATGCTAACTATATTCTCGTTCTCTTTCTTTGTTCTCTTTCTTTCTTACTTCATCCTTTTGTTTATATTTTGTTGACTTGAACGTTAAGTACCTCAGCAAATATTACTTTTGATATCCCTACCTTTTTTTCTTTTTTTGTGACAGACTACATTCGTTATTCTATTCAACCTTCAACAAGCTCTGTGACTATCAAATCAGAAATTACGTCAATAAAAAGTTAGAAAACATTCCAGCATAAATACAACGAACAATAAACTTCAGCATGTAAGAAATATGTAGACCTATTATGTTATTTATACAAGTTTGGGGATTAATGCTAGGACAAATTGATACATTGGTATTTAGCCATCGCTAACGTTTAAAATTGATGCTTTTATTCCTTGATAAATAACCCACCCAAGAATTTTATGTTTCTCATGTATTTAGTAACGGGAGGAAAAAAAGTCTCAAGGTTTGCACACAAATGATTAGCTTTATTGAATTAAAATAGGTAAACAAAGTCACGGTTTGTTGAATGGAGGTGTAATAAGTCTGAAGAGCACTGAGAAAAAGTGCTGCAATGGCGCCCTCCAATGCTAGGAAAGTCCAAGGGCTTCTAAAATGGGTGTGATAGGCTTCAGCTGCAGAGCTGATCCACATATTATGGCAATGATCCTGAATTCCTCTTTGGTCAAACTGGGCACATTTCATAAGCTATCAGGTTCAGGAACTTGGGCCCGTTGAGTCATCTAATGTGATAAGAAAAAGCCTTAGTTTTCCTAAACAGCATATGCGATTAAAACTAATGACGGTGAGATAGCTGGTCTCACTTTAACCAAATCCCTGCTTCTCTGAGCTCCTCGACATTACGAAATGTATGCGAATGAAGCTACCGCAACACCTTTTGTTTCAAAATATTTCTAAAATTCCTGTTTTCACTTGTTGGGGTGAACGGAACCCTTCGTATTAATGGCTGGGTACTGTTGTCATAAAAGGATTCCTTCGAAGCTTTGAAAGAACGGAAATTCTCATTCTCACGATTGCACATGAGATGCAACTCCTCTAACCGTCACATACTGGAAGTCGGATTTCCCGTGATGGCTCTGTCGTATCTATTACCCAATAAAAAAAAATTTTTAATAAAATTTTTCAAAGATAAAATATTGTTTTTAAATTATGTAGTACGCAATTGTATTGAAAAATGATGTCTGAAAGTATTACAATATGTTTTGGATAAAATCAGGTAGAAGAGTCTGATTGCTCCTAGATAGCAATTGACTGTCATGTGCCAAAATTGGTTATGTTTAAAACAGATGATAGACATTTTGGGATGGTAATGGGTATCTGAAATCGGATATTACCCTAACTGATTAAACAGGACTGGAGTTTCTTATAATTGAGTTAGGATAGTAAATTTAATATTTGTTATGGATTTGGGGTTGAAATTTTAAAGTATCCACTACCCGAATTTAATTGTAAATAATTATTTTAAAGATTTTATATATTTTTATTTATAAATTTTTAATTATTAGTATAATACTTAATTAAAGTAATTCATTAAGTGTTTTAATTAATTTTTATTTACTTTTATGAGCAAACTTTCATTTATCTGTTTAATTTTTCTTAATAATATGCGTTAAAATTAATTTTAAATTTGAGTTGAAAGTCAAATTTTAACTAAATAAAAGAGTATTTAACGAGTTCTCTATATTATATAGGTAGTGTTCAGATAGCAAAAATAAAAACATTCGAATATTTATCGGGTTTGGGAATGGATACCTCAAAATTAATGTATATCCTAACCATTGACATCACTATAGATAGCAGGATGTCTAACATAACTTTATATTCAGTTTGAGATTTTGTCTAAGGCAAACGAATGCCCTGAAGGGGTAGTTAATGCCCAAACAAGATTTTTACCTTATGTTTGGAAAAATAACTAAAGCAGCCGAATGTTTATATAGGTCATTCATATGCCCTTCTTGAAAGTTCAAAAAATATGTTTGTTGAAAATGGGGTTTCATCTTAAAAGAGATGATTCTTCAGTCAAAAGTTGTCCATTGATGGAAAGGTATTACTAGCATCGGTTGGGACTTGCAAATATTTTTATTAACACTTATTTTAACACAACTTTATATCTTTTCAAATCAAAATTCAGATTTTCTCATTCAGTTTCATTTTTTGGTTTTGGTTAAAGTGTGTTCGAGAAGAACTTGAAGTGCAATCTTATTCTTCTTTTGGGCATAGCATTCTCGAGACAATGTTTCTAAAAACCATTTGCACTTTATTAGGGAAACTATTTTATTTAAGAAAGATTTTTGAAAATGCCTTACCCAACATCATCTTTTTGAACAAATGTTGAATTGGTTGCCACCCTCACACTCAACAGTTTAAAAACAATAGACTTTTCCAAATTGCAATTTCCGCAATCAAGCCACAATGACGTGGAAAAACATGAGAGATTAAATGGAATGAATTACAAATGATAGAGCATGAAGATTTACTATCAAATCAGTCTCTTGAATATTGTCTATGTTTTGCATGGGTGCTATCCACAAAAAGAAAATGATGATGGGCAATTGAATACTACAACAAAAGTGAATAGAGGATGACTACATATGCCATCTAACCAGCTTTCTAGGACTAATTAACTTTCTCCCCAACGTGTTCCACAAACACAATACGACATGGGAACTTTGGCATGTAATGGAGAAGAGGTAACAGAATGAAATTGTCGAAAATTAATAATTCATTTAGAACAAGTATGTCGATTTCAAAATGACGAATTCTAAATCTGTCATTGATAAAATAAAAGAGTTAATGACATTGCAATTGAACGCAGCGATACAAGAGAACCACTTTTTGAAACTTCTAAGTGTTTACCATCATTGGTAAAATTGTCTCCATCTTGGAAAGATTGCCAAAGGTATTTGAAAAAAAAAAAATATATATATATATAAAGGATCATTTACCTTGGATGAATTAGTTAAACACATACAAATTATCTTGGATGAATTAGTTAAACACATACAAATTACCTTGGATGAATTGGTTAAACATATACATATTGAGAATGCAACCCGTATAAGATATGAATTCATAAATGGTGTGGATGACAACAATGTGCAAAACATTGAAGGTAGTATTAAATCATCTTCTTTAAAGGGTGAAAACAATCATCATAACGAGAGGCAGAAAAACTCTTCAAATAGAAAGGGGAAGTTTAATAAGTTCGAAAACGATTTCAAGAAGAAAGATGGTCCTTGCTATGTGTGTTGACAGAATGGCTACTTTGCAAAAGTGTGTCACTTTTGAAAAGGCAAGAAGAATGAAGCCAATATAGGAACTAAAAAAGACACGGTTGCAATGATCATCAAAATTCTCATGGTTGAAAATCAAGAAGATTGGTGGATTGATTCTGTGCAACTTGTGATGTCACTCATTTTAATGGTGACCTACAAAGAGGTTAATGAGGACAGATCGGCCTTTACATGAAACTCATTCACTTGCAAGATTGTTGGCAAATGGACCATAAAATTTCCACTTACATCCAACATGGTTTTAACTTTGTGAGATGTGTATCATATTCTAAACCTTAAGAAGAGCTTTGTTAGCTTAAGCGTAGATAATAATCTAAGAGAGGGAGAATTGGATTGAATCCAAATTCTTTTTCAAAAAAAATTTCAAATAAATGTAAATAAGAAATTGAAAATATATGAAATTAAATAACAAATAAACAATAATGAATATAAAGGAGTATAAGTTGAGAGATCAAAACAAGAATTTATAAAAGTTTAATCCTTCTTCAAATGCATTTATGTCCTCTTTCATAGCTATCTTAGCCAAACACAATCTTTTAGTAGAAAAATTCTTCTTATAAATTATAATCCTTATATTTTAAGTTTAAGATAGTAACCTTTATCCCTTTTAGGGTTCTACCAAACACTCCTTCCAATATCTCTCAAGATGTGCCTCTCCCCTTAACTCAAAAATTTTCTTTGAACACAAAAGAATTTGTAAACTTTAAAATACCTCTCAAAAGTTAAGTATTTGGGTAATTAAGTACAAAGAATGACAAATGAAGAATAAAAATAGTTTGAATACAAGAACGGGAAGAATTAACAATTTAAACTTTTAAATGCTCTTGATAAACTTGGAAGATTTGATTCAAAGCTCTTGATATCTTGTTTTTTGGTTTTTTGGCTCTTCAATGGTGTTGGAAAATCATTTTATGTAGAGAAAAATGAATTGGAGTTATTGGAATTTGATTGGGTAAGAAAAGGGTAGTTTATTTTCTTAATAAAGAACATTAGATTTGCCAAGGGCTAAGGGATGGATCTTGTCCATTAAGGGATTGATTCTTTCAAGAATTTCATTCAAAATTTGACTATTGTAGGCTAAGGGATTGATCCCCTTTTATATGAATGTTCTTAATATTAACAAAAGTATTCCTAATTTTGCTTATGTCGTTGATCTTAATGATCTAATTATTTTGGTATTATAGATTAGGACAGATTGATGTGAATGAAATTAAATAGCATGCCATTTCATGATTTAATTTCTAAATTTTCTACCATAGTTTTGAAACTTGTGAAAGTTGTGCTTAAACGAAAATTACTAAATCTTCATTTAATACTATTTTAAAATAAATCCATTGTTAGAGTTAGTTCTTATGATTTATGTAAGAATAATGATGTTCTAATTAGAAGTGGTAAAATGTATTTTATTACTTTTATAGATGATTACGTTAAATATAGTTATGCTTATTTGTTAAGAACTAAACATGAAACTTTTGAAAAATTTAAGATTTTCAAAGATGAAATACGACTAATAAAAAGATTAAAAGAATAAGGTTTGATAAATTGGTGAATACTTGTCTAACGAGTTTGTTGCATTTTATAAATCACATGGCATTGTAAGAGAAGCTTTTGCTTATAACACTTTACAATAAAATGGAGTAGAGAAAAAAAAATAGGACATTACTAGAAATGGTAAATGCAATGTTTTTATATGCTTGTTTGCTAATAAATTTTTGGGGTGAAACATTATTTACTACCTGCTGTATTTCTAATAGAACATTGTAAAAAGGTTTTGTTAAATTGTCATATGAATGAGTTAAAGGTAGAGACTTAACTCACTACTTCAAAGTCTTTGGATGCATTTCATAAGTCCTAGATTCTACCCAAGATTGGTAGTAAAACCATAAAATCAATATTTCTTGATTATACACTAAATAGTTAAGCAATAGATTCCTTAATTTAAAGAGAAATAATGTTTTTGAATCTACACATGTTATATATTTTGAGCATTTTCAACAATAGATTTATATGAAAATACATTTTCAACCTTGAATAAAGTAATGAAAACTTTTGGGTAAAGTGCATTTGTAGTCCCAAACCTTTTATTTAGATTTCACTTTGATCTCTAACTTTTAAATTATTCCATGATAGTCATAAACCTTTTAAATGATGTCAATATGATTATTTAATCAATTTTCGTATAAAAATAATAGAAAATTACAAACTTAAGATAATAGATCTAGAATTATTATCCTTTTCTATCATACTAAAATATATTTATTAGAATATAAATAAAACTTTTAAAATTTTTAAGAACGAAATAAAACTATCATTTTTGCCCATGGTTTCAAAATTCAATTGAAAATTAGGGAAAAAATGGTACTTTAGTTTCCTTTTTAATAATTTTAAAACTTTTATTTTCTTTTTAAAGTATGATAGCAAAAATAATAATTTTGAGTCCACCATAATTTTATTTCCTTTCTTTGTTCTTATTTCATCAAATTTTATTTCTCCTATATTTATAAATTTTGATCAAAGAATTTAAAATTAAATTCTATTATGAATAAAGCTAGATTTTGTTTAAAAAAAAGAAATGAAATATACCCAAATAATGTTTTAATATTTAATTAAATAGAAGTAAATAATAATTAATAATTTTAAAAAGTAATTTTGGTAAATTATAACTAATATAATTTGAAATCTTTTAAAAAATAGAATTAGAGTGATGAATCCATATTATTACTCTTTGCTATTATAACAAAATGTATTTATTAAAAAATAAAATTTTTATAATTATGACCAAGGAAAACAAGGTACCATTTTTGCCTTTGATTTTAAGTTGAATTTTTAAAATCAGTAGAAAAATGATAATTTTTTTCCTTTTAACAAATTTATTTTTTACTAATAAATATAGTTAAATTATTTTGGTATGTTTTATTTCTTTCTTTTGTTAAAAATTATTTCTTATTTTATTTTTAATAGGAATTAATTTTATATTATTATTAAAATTTGTAAATATTGAGAAAAAATTTAATAAAACAAAATAAAAAATAGAATTAGGATAATGAATATAAAATTATTACTTTTTGCTATCATACTAAATATATTTATTAGAAAAAAATTGTTATCACTCAAATAATATTTTATCTTAGATCTAGTAAAGTTGATATCAATTCAAAAAATTTATTCAATTCCTTCAAACCTAAATTGATTTAATCTGATTTGATTAAAAAAATTAATAGTTTAAATTCATTTAATCCTAAACTCGAATTAATTATTTAAATTATTTAAATAAAAGATAATTTGAACTCAAATGATTCAAACTATTCAAAAATTTATTTCAAAATGATTTTAAATTAAATTAATTTGATTTGAAAACTTAACAATGCAAATCCAAATTGACTTGAATGGCATGACAGGAACTGATGGTTCAAACCCCAATAATTTAAGTGTTTTATTCAAAAGATTCAATCTCAAAATAATCGGATACCAATTTTTTACTAGAAATGATCCCATCCGTCCAACGAACCTCTATCCCGTCCTTAAACGTTTGGTATCAAAGTGCAAACTTTGCGTGCAAGATGCAGAATGCATTATGCTCCATCACCCATGAAGCATTCTCCGAAAGTTATGATAATGGTCAACAACCTTACAAGAAAACTTGGAACCGGCTCTGTAGATTACTTCAATTGAAACTACTATTAATTATTTTTTTATTCTTTTCTTCCACACGTTAAGGACTTTGGTGTTTAACATCAACACCAAAGCTATAACTAATTAACTTATCTTATTATAGGTGTAAATATACAAATAACATTGGAATTATATTTAACCTAAAATCATACTACTTAACTTAAATATAATTAAAATTGGAATCAATACAAATTATTCATTAATTTGATATAAGTAATCAAATATAATCCATAATAAGATAATTTTATTAGTCCATCAATGCAACACAATTTTGTCATTCTTTACCCCTTCGCCATGTTTGAGAGTTTTAACTAATAAGAAACTCTTGGGTCAAACTTGGCAAGCCGCAGCTGATGCTTCCCCCAGTTGCATTCTTCATTTTCTATGCGGGCCTAACCAAAGCTCTTCAAGGGTTTTAAACTGCAATTTCCAATTATATATTTATAAAAATAATTCTCATAATTTTTGGGGAACTATAAATAAGAAAGCAGAGGATTGGCCTCTCGTCATCTTACACCGCACAATAGAAAAATAGAGAGATAGAGACAAACAAAACAATGGCAAATTTGTTCATTAAGCAGGCAAAGCAATATGCAGAAGGTCGGCCAAGCTACCCACCAGAATTATTCCAATTCATTGCCTCAAAGACTCCAGAGCATGATCTTGCATGGGATGTCGGCACCGGCAGCGGCCAGGCTGCTCGATCTGTGAGTTTGAATTTACCCGCTTTGTGACGTCCAGCTTGAATGCAACGTTAATTGTTGCATCAAGAATCAAGTTTTGATTCTTAACATATTTTCCTTTTTCCATTTTCTGGGTTATGAACAGTCTAGAATTAATATTAGATGTTTTAATTCATCTCAATTTTCAGTTGGCTGAGATTTACAAGAATGTCATAGCCACAGACACAAGCCCGAAACAGCTTGAATTTGCCCCAAAACTCCCCAATATCCGATACCAGCATACCTCTCCAGTCATGTCCCTGGTGGAGCTTGAGCAAAATGTGGCAGCAGAATCAAGTGTTGATTTAGTGATCATAGCTCAAGCCATGCACTGGTTCGACCTCCCTGTATTTTACCAACAGGTGAAATGGGTACTCAAGAAACCCAATGGGGTCATCGCTGCCTGGTGTTACACCACCCCAGAAGTCAACGACTCCGTGGACAAGATCCTTCAACGATTTTACAAGAACCCTTACTGGGACCCTCAGCGAAAAATGGTGGATGATAAGTACAAAAGCATCGATTTTCCTTTCGAGCCGGTGGACGGAACGGATAGCACGGGACCAATTGAGTTTGGGAATGAAAGATTGATGGGTTTAGAGGACTATTTTACTTACTTAAGATCGTGGTCAGCGTATCAGAAGGCCAAGGAAAAGGGCGTGGAGCTTTTGAGCGAGGATGTGGTTGAGGACTTCAAACGTGCTTGGAGTGAAGATGGAAATAATGGCCAAAAACTGGTTAACTTTCCTGTTTATCTCAGGATTGGTAAGGCGGGTCTGTAAAAAAGAAAAAAAAAAAGAGCGGAAAGCGTTGGGTCAGGGTACGTGATTTTGTATTTCAATGAATTGGATCAATTCATGTTTTAATTTTTTTATGAACATTTCATGTTTTAAATTAGTTTTGGTTGGTATTGTTGTTTTTCTAAAATCAACTCAAATAGAGTAAAGGTAAGTTATTGTTTATAGTATTTATCATTTTTAAATTAAATTGAAATTTAAAATAAAAAATATAATTTATTCAATTAATTATATTTCAAATTGTTTAAAATTCACGCGTTCTTCTTTTAGGTTTAATCACTCATGATTTGGTTTAATTCATTTTCTAGTTGAATATATTTTGGGTTGTTGAATTTTAAAGTCAATTTTTGAATTGAGTCGACTTTGGTAAGATGAGTTAAAAAAAAAATTTTTAGTTAGTTTTATTAACTTTAATTATCTATTATGTTGCTGATAAAATAGTTTAATCTTTATGTTGGTTGTTTTCATGAAGTGACTAGAATAATTGTTTTTAAGGGATGACACTGGAGTGAGACAGCTTTAGAACGGTATCGGTTTGTAACGGATTTGATTTATTTTTTATTAAATATTATATAGTATTATAAATTTTTAAAATTTGATTTAATCCAAATCAAATCAAATTTTATTAATTTAATTTGATTTATCGATTTTTAAATTTTTTATTTTTTATTTTTTATATATAATTTTAATATATTTAAGTAGATTTTGATATAAAATTATTATTTTTATTTTATAAAAATTTAAAATATATAAAGCCTAATAAAAATACAAAATTTGGTTCGATTTGATTTTTTTTTTACTGTTCAATTCAAAATTTAATCTGATCTTAATATATACTTTTAATATTTAAACTTAATCCAAATTGAATAAGAAAAAAAATCTATTCAAATCAAACCAAACACTATAATTTTAAATCAATTTTTGGTTTTTTTTTATTTTTTTCTCACATTTAGACAGCAGTATAAACACCTAATTTTATTTGGGCAAAATTTGATCATTTGTGAAGCTCTTAAATTTTGATCCAATTTAAATCTAACATTTCTTTAATTTTGACAAGTTTTAAAATTAAAATTATGACCAATTTGACCTAAATACCTCAAGGTCAAACTTCATTAAATTTAGTCAAATAAAATCAAACTTAGTCAAAATTAGTCAAAATTGAACAAAATGGATAGAACTCAGGTCAACTTTCAAAATTCACAATCAATTGGAATCAACATGGCTTGGAATTGAAATTCTTGATTTTAAAGTATTAAAAAAACCTTATTGCACTTTTAAGAAAAGTAAAATTATCAAAATACCATTTAAGGATATTTTTGTAATTTGATTTTTTCAAAATTAGATTTTCATTAAAGCTTTCATATATTAATTAAATATTATTAATGAGTTTTGGTACATTAAAAACTTTAATCACACTATAAAAGGTGTGAAATTATTAAAATACCCATAATAATATTTTGTAACTTAACATTCCATAGGTTGGAATTTTGTAAAAAGTTTTAGATTATGACTTAATATTATTTTATAATTTTTGAAATATTGAAAATTTTGATTGTACTTCGAAAAGAGTGAAATTACTAAAATATCTTACAGAGATATTTTTATAATTTGATCTTCTTGAGGTCAGTTATTCGAGAAACCTTCTAGATTAAGTTTTTAAATTATTTGATGATTTGTGGTGCATTAAAAACCTTAACAGCACTTTAGAATGTGTGAAATTACTAAAATACTCCTTAATGGTAATTTTGTAATTTGACCTTTTTAAGGTTAGATTTTCACGAAAACTTTTAAATCCTAATTTTATACTATTTCATGATTTTTTGTACTTTAAAATCACAAAAGTAAATAAAGGAGCATTGTTTTCCAAAAAAATAGCCTAAAAATCGAAAACTTTCTAATGGAAGGTAAAATGACATTTTTACTTGGTTCCAATAGCAATTAAAATCAAATATTTGGTAGTAAGCTCTTTCAACCATCGAATGATCTTAAAGGCCCAAATCCAATGGTGAACGGTAACTTCTTACAAAAAAACCAAGGAAAAATTTTTAACCATTAGATGAACTTTTAGTCCAAGGGCTTGCGTGCATTAAGGGAAAGATATTTTCTCTTCATAAAGGCTGGGAATTGACGGTTTTTAGAAAGGGGAAGGAAGTTAGCTGGGATGTGAAGAAAGAAAACGAAAAAATGAAAAAAAATCTTAGTGAAGAGCTTGGTGTAGGTATAATTTTTCTACCATTTTTTTCTTTGCATTTTCATAAGCATTCCATAGTATTTATCATATTTTTCATGCCATTTAGTTTTTTATTTTATTTTTTTTAAAAATTTATAGTTCTTTATTTGATTTCAAGCTTGGATCAAAACTTCATCCAACTAAACCATAGTTGGGTAGAATCAAAGTTCAAGTAACAAAAATCAAAAATCCATTTAAAGCCATTAGAGGTTTGGCCAAACATAACTCCATCATGGTCGAACCTCCTTTTGGTTCTCTTTAAATGCTATCCTTGCTTCTCATGTTGTTTATGGATGGTTTAGTTGTTAATTTACTTTGTATTTGCTTGAATTTTATTTAGGTTAGTAATGTATGTTAGGTGTTTGGCTAATGTTCTTGTGTTCATAGTTTCCATTCAAGCTAGTTCATTATATGCTTGAATTTTTTTTCCATGATATAAATGCCTTCCTATGGTGATTTGGTAAGTGGTTAATGCATGATTTGGCTTAGTGAATAAATATATGATTGTGGAGTGGCCATGGAAACATTCAACTAAGCCATTCCCATGCTTGGCCAAAAGCTCGAATTTTGTTCACAACTAGATGTTATTTGGTCCAGTTTTGATTATTTATGTTCTTGCTTTGTTCATCAAAATTCCAACATGTCTATAATGACTAGATAATGAGGTTACTTGTATTTTACATGGATTTGAATAGTTAATGATGTATGTTTGGTTGTTTGGCTATTTTTTTTTTATGGTTTCTTTACCACTTTAGTTTGTTAACTGATTGATGAAATTCCTCTAGCAATTACAATGTCTCCATATGATCATTATTTTGAAGTTTAATGCATAATTGAGCTAAATGGAATGATGGCATTTTGTGATGAACCAAATGGGAGTTTCGGCCAAGCCTTTTCAAGCTATGGCCGAACCTTTTTATTTTAATGGTGGCCAAAATGTAGTTTGGTTCTTGCTTAAATGTTTGTGTTCTTGCATGATTCTTTAAATTTTCTATGAATAAAATGTTAGTTTAGTAGGCTATTTGGTTATTTTAGTGTTTCTTTGCATGACTTTCAAAAGAAAAAAAATGATGAAGCATATCGTAAATTTTTTTAAAATTTTAGTGTTTAATCCATTTTCATCATGTTTTTGTATGCACATTTAGTTTGTAATATAATTTTTAAAATGCTTAGATTTATAATTAGTTTGTTCTTTAGTTATGCATTTTTCATGTATCAATATTTACATTTTTTCCAATAGCATTTTCATTGTTTGTCACATGCATAATATTTTTATTTTTACCAATGAAATTTTTGTAATTCATTTTTATCACGTTTTTTTTCATGAAACCCCGAACTGCCATGAAACACCAAATCATCCTTCAAACCTTAAACCACCCTTATAAACCCTAAAACCACCTATGAAACCTTAAAGCATTCTCTAAACCTTAAACCACCAACGAAACCCCAAATCACTCATAACCCCTAAATCACGTATGAAATCTTAAACTGTAAACCACCCATAAAACCCTAAACCACATATGAAATCGCTCAAACCTTAACCCATAAACCTTAAGCTTGAAAACCTAAATCCTAACCCTAAACCTTAAAACTTAAAACTTAAACAAAAACCCCAAACCAACCTTTTAACTCTAAACCTAACCTAAACCCTAAAATTACCCCTAACCCCTAAAAACTTAAACCAACCCCCAAATCCTAAAACCAACCCTTGCCCCTCATTCATGCATTTGAATACCATTTTACTTTGTTATATGCATTCTTAAATTGTTATCCATTTATACCTTGTCATTCACATTATTTAATCATCATGCATTGATATTATTATTATGTTCATGCATACATGCATTGTTTTTATAAATTAAGTTTTTCAAATAAAATTGTTTTTAAATAAAATAACATCTGAAGTAAAAATAACCTTCGAAATTTGACCTAAATATAAGGGGACTCTCAATAGCTATCATTTATGTGAGGTGTTATTTCAGTTTATGGGACAATTTAAAAATATTTGAGTTAGAGATGTTTTTGAAACTCTATCTAAATATAGGAGAGTGAAAAAGGTATTTTAATACTTAAAGTGTTTTCATTTTGATCCAAAAATAAAATGCTTTATTTTTTCAAAAATTGATTTGTTTTAAAAAAAAAATTCAAGGGCTTTTTATGAATTAATGAAAGAATGGAAATGAATTTCTAAATACTAAAATGGGACCATTTTAAACCAAAATCTAAGGATAACATGCGATTAATTAGTAACATTTTTTACAAGCATTGTGAAGACACTAATCTTTTCCCACATATAACTTACTCTTGAAACTTAAGTTTGATTTCACAAATCTCAATTTGTTCTTTTCATAAAACTTTTAAATCTTTTAAATGTTTCTTTAAAAAGGATAAAATATTTTTAGACGGCCATTCATAATCTAAAAAAAATTGGTGGCGACTTCTTGTTTTGATTTTTATCAAAAATGTTTTTTTATGCCTTTCAATTTTTCTCATTCCCTATTGTTCAACGAATGGGGACTTCCCAATCTCGAAACATTATGACAACTTGGCAAATCCATTGAGAAAACATTTTTAAAGAGTTAAGCCAAAGATTGATTTCATGTTATCCTAAAATTTTGGTTTAATGGTCCTAGTTAATTTTTAATCTTAATTCATTAATTTTAATTTTCTTGTTTTCTTAAAAAGTAAAAAAATTGGAAAAAATAAAAAAAATATTTTGATTTTAATTTCCTTGCTTACAAAAATTGAAAAAAAAATGTGTGTTTTACATTTCATGCATATTTTAATTATATCATTTATTTTAAATTGTTATTATTTATCTTGTTTTTAACAATTGTAGGGCATTTAGGATAGGAACATTTTAGGAATGTGTGAAAGGTTTGTATATTCCTTTGGACACACTTACATTGCATTCCATGCACAAAACCTATACCTAAGCATTAACCTTTTTTAAGAAGAAATAAAGTAGCTAAGTTCTCACGAAGTGTAAATGTTTGCAATGGCTAAACCCTTCCCATTCAAATTAAATCATTTTTGTTCGTAGCTTGTAATGGGTGAGGATTAGGGTATCTTATAAGTCTATGATGAACGATGATGTGAGGAATAATTTGAGAACCTTTAGATATATTAATTCCCAAACTAACATATAGCAATCCATAGGGAGTTAGCCATATGTAAAGCCATACCCACATTTTCTATGGCAATTACCCTAAGTAAGTCATATGAAAGAACATTCCTTACCTTGCTCATTTACTTTTTTGTTAATTTGATAACTTAAATTGTTGCTCTTAATAAAATAAAAATGAAAAAGGAAAGTTATTATGAATTACAATTCTTTATAAAAAAAAAAAGAAAAAAAATGAAAAAGGGGTTTGAAAATTGATTAATAAAAAAAAAAACGTGTGTGTTAACTTGTCATGTTACCTTGCATTTGCATTTCTTTTTCCTTTTGACTAATTTTTCCACATTTTTTGTGTTTTCCTTTTTCTTGTTTGTTTCATGCATAATTCTTGACATAAAAGCATCGAAGATATACGTTATAGATAATTCATTAGTAGAAGTTTTCATGGCATCCCAAGAATCATAAGTAGGATATTTGGTGAATAAGTCATTCTGGGAGGTTAGGGATCAGTCATAACTTAGGCAGTAAATAAAAAGAGATTGTATGCAGAATGAGTATGTTACGAGCCTTCCAAATATAGTATATGTGGATTTAAGAAGGAATGACGTGATAGATTTGGAGGGTATTTGGAGTTAGTGAGACTTGTGTTCTTCTTCCACTAAGTCCATGCCCGTTATGATGAGTCAAATGTGTAAGAAAAGAAAAACAAGGCAAACCCTTGATAAAGCCAAAAATGGCTTAGTGAACAAAAAATGCTATAATTAAAAAGTAATGCCTCGAAATTCAAAAGTTTCAAAAAAAAATTTTTTAACTTCCACTAAGTCCAAGAAATTTCAAGTAAGCTAGCTAAGGGCGATAAGCCTAAAAATTTTCTTTTTCCTACTTTGGCCTAAGCCTTACATTACAAACCTTAAAGACCTTTTGATATTAAGTCAAGTATGTAAATCTACATCAGTGGAGAGGAAAGGGGAAAGTAGACTTATGAAGGTTATTCTATCTTTAAGTTGAAATGTGATAAGATGTTTTTCATTCTTTTCACTTGAGTTATATGTATGAATTAAAGATGGAGTAATTTCATATGAGTGGTTGATCATAAGATATTATTAGCTTGTTTTTGAAGGAATTTCTTGTAAATCTATATTTATGACTAATTTTGTATTATGCGATAATACACGAATGGAAAATAATGCGATAATACATGAATGGAAAATTAATAGCTCATCCAATGATTGTCCTAAAATACATAAATATGCCACTGTCCTAAAATACATAAATATGCCACTGCTTCCTTTCCTGCAACTCTGCAAAGAACAGAATCCACACCCCACTGTTGCATTGCATTGGCTCAACAGCATTACATGCTTTTAACAGGACACCAGCGGCATCCCCTGATCACTGATTTATAATTACGTTCATTCATAAGCTTTGCTTATTATCTATGTGCTCCTTCTAGCCGTCGTTAAAACCTCTTTTCTATAAATATTGGTAATGAAGATATCTGTCAATCTGATATCACCCAGGTTTATATCTGTTAATGGAACTAATACCAGGTTTAGACCTGGTTGAATCAAGATCCACTAACGAATTATGGCACCAAAAAGAAACATTTGAAACTGGGGTGAAATTGCAATTAAATCAAGTAGGTGGTGAATCAACTTTCCCACCACTAACATACAAAAACAAACACACACACACACACACGCACACAAGAATTAAATCTATTTTACAAGAAACAATCAAATCAAACCCAAAGGCCAAAAGGGGGGAAGGGAAGAAGAACAAAAACAAGACTAATATACGTACAAATGCTTCACAAACTTCAACAATTGGATCTAGAGCATCAAAACTGTCACTTTTTTTTATACAATAAACAACAAGAACGATCTGATGGACAATATAGACAGACCGCAAATTAAGAAACAAATCGCAAACAAAACCCTACTACAAATACCAATTCAAGGAATTTGTCAAACTAGAAACATTCTTTTTTTATAATCCTCATCCACAAATTAAATATAAAAACTATGCATCCCATAGCATTGGCTTAGTTATCATGAGCAACAACCAGGGCACCTTATTAACCCGTTCTCATTGCAGTCTGGGCACCTTCTCAACCTCGCTTCATCTTCCTCAAATACCTTTCTGCTTCCATTGCAGTTAGGACACGGCAAAAACCTTGCATCTCCACAACCTTCACAAACGATTGTAGGATCTCTAACCGGAAACCCCTCCAAAAGCATTGCCAATTCTCCACTCTCATTAAGCTGTTTAATCTCTTCTGCACCACCAACATGCTTTCCCCTGATGAACACTTGTGGCAAACAAATCAATTTCCCCTCAAGTAGACTTTGCAACTCGTTTCTATACATTGAGTCCATTGAGATGTCTCTTTCGTCTACAGGCACTCTAAATCCTCTAAATATCATTCTAACAGAACAACAATCCTCATAAGTCTTTCTGATCCCTCTTAAACTAGTAAAATATAATACAATTTTGTTTTCAGTGCTTGGCACTCTAAACCAACCATCAGATAATGAAGAACATGAAGGAGTAGAACCCATAGATATTGTACTTCTGGACTCATTGCTTCCTAGCTGCCTGGAAGATAATGCTCGTCTGTAACGTGAAACCACATTTGGGTCAAGTTTTGATAGCAATGATTCTTCAGATAAATGTTTCCATAAAGGCTTTGTCAATGATGGCTTTGTGGGTTTATAATGCTCATTTTTCTTTACAGGCACATCAAGACCCTTACAGTTAAAGGTGTTAGATTTCGATGAAACCTCCTTGGTACAAGTATTAACAAACGAATTAGGTTTACCCAGATCAAAATCACAGTCATCATCGAGCCCATCCATGAGCTCCCAAGTGTTGATGACAGAATCTGAAGACAATGACTCGTCTTGGTCTGCATGAACCGGTGAGTCCTTGTGCTGTGGCGATTGATGTAGTTGAAGATCAGAGAAACCCCGGCTGTTCATTCCAGGCGTTTTGGTGTCAATGAGTACAAGAGAGCCATAGGTAGTAGATGTTAAAGAGACAAGGTGGTGTGTATCGCCTTTCCTCATTGGTGGGTGATGAACAAGAGGAGTTGGGAGTGAAAGAACTCTAGGAATTGGTGGTGAAGAATGAGAAGAAACCATGGCTTCTAGAGAAGTGCAAGAATACGGATCTTTAGGAGAACTATGGCTTTTGGTGAAAACAGTGGTGTTGGGTCTTGAAGTAGAACACCCCATGAATGAAGAACCTTTTACTTCTCCCTCGCTCCCTCCAGACTGTGTTTTTGCCTTTTTCTCTGTTAATCAACCTTTCTGGATTATGGGATTGGAGTTTGTGGCTTAAAGAGAAGGCTTTTTTTTTTTTCTTTTTCTAGTTCTGCTTTTGGTTTGCTTTTGGACAGAGAAAGAAAGAGAGTTCTAGGGGTAGATTGGGTGCATTTCTGAAGGCTTAGAGGGCAAGGCAGAGAGAGAATGGTGTTTGTTGCGAGTGGGAGATGGTGATATTAATGCAGTTTGGAAGCAGGAAAAGCAGTTTTAAAGTTTGATTTTAAACTTTGAAATGATAAATGATTATAAAGTGATTTGCTAATACTTAGCAGTTAGCAGAAGATAACAGATAAAATTTGGATTGAGACAAACAGTAGGTTAGTCTACTCCTAGATTTTGAGTTGTTTAAGCTGTGTTTGGTTTTGATTTTTTTTCTTAGCTCATATTTGGTAATTTCGAAAACTTACAAGAATGAATGATTTGATTTTCTGTGTTAGTATTGATGGCGTATCACAATCTCTTGTTGGTAATTGGACTCAATACATTTTCCTCATGGTAAATCCATTAAAGCAGATCATGGTATAGAGGAAAGCAAATCGCTTTCACTGCCAGCTACATTGTGTTTTCTACATCATCATTTCTTCCAAACATATTCCTTTTATTTTTCTTTTTTTTTTTATGTGAGACTTTAACCATTTACACAAAACATAGTTTTTTTTTTTTTTTACATAAGAGGTAAGATAAGAGAAAAAATTATATGTATTGGTATTTCAATTTTAAATTTATTAAATGTTATCTTTTAAAAATATTATATGAATTAATTGAACTAAATTATTATTAAAAAATATATATAATCTATTAAAAATAGGTTTTGGATTTTTAATTTTTTTTATAAAATAGGGGAGCATATATACCTTTGGTGTAAAACTACCTTATACATGATACAAGGAGGATATAATTATCTTTTAAGGGTGTTTAGATCGCGAAATTTTAGATTCAAAGGAAGAAAGTAATTTAGAGAGAAAGTGACATTGAATTGGAATGTGTGATTCTTGGATTTTTGTCGATCAAGAAATATAAAATTTTTGTGTTTAGGTTCACGAAAATATAAGATTATCTAATAAAATTTTTTACTATATTGTTTTTAATAACATGTGACACTCATAATATTGATATACGAATAACATGCTATTATCCCTACACAAAGGAAACTCATAAATTGATCTTAAAAATATCATTTTTTAACAAAGATTACATTTTTTTATCTTATAAATGTCTTCTTTTTAATAAAAATTACATTTTATATCTTAAAAACGTTATCTTTTTTAAATTCTAAAAAACATTTTCATATTTTCAACAAAAATTATATTTTTTATTTTCAAAAACGTCATTTTTATTGAATTTTAAAAAATATTTTTTTTCATATTTTCAACTAAAATTACACTTTTGTCTTAAAAACGTCATCTTTTCAACAAAGATTACTTTTTATATTTTAAAAATATCATTTTTATTAAATTTTGAAAAAATATATTTTTTATATTTTCAATAAAAACTATATTTTTTATTTTAAAAATTTATTAGTTTCAAATTATACATTACTACAGTTTATCAATGATTACGTTTCTATAACAAAAATGTAATTATTGATATAGAGAAATATAAACCAAAATTTAGTTTTATTAATTACTATGTTTTTTACATACAAAACATAGTAAAATCAAATAAATATTATATTATATTAACTTTACCAACAAGAACTACATTTTTATATAAATTTTTTTTATCAATTACTACATTTTCATACTAAAAAACATTATTAATATTGAAAATATAAAATTTATTTTATTATTATTTTTATGATTAATTACGTTTCATATGTTAAAAATATAGTACTTAAGAAATTATAAAAAAATTCAAAATCGTAACATTGAAACAATTTATTATGTTTATTTTAAATGTTGTTTTTATTATAATTTATTTTTTATAACATATTGTAACATATGACTACGTTTCTAACATAACAATATTATATAAATGAAAATTTTTTATTTATTAAGATTATATTTTATACATCTTTCAATATATTTATAGTTCAAAAATATTATCTTTTTAAAACTTTATCAGTAAAAAAATATATTTAAATTTATAAAAATTCAAATATATATAATTATTGTCAAGTGTCTAATCACGTGATAAAAAATACAACATTACCCAATCATGTGACTAAAAATGTAGTTTTACATGCTAGAATGAGTCTAAATTTATCATATAATTACATTAATTTTTAAAAATAAAATAGATCATAAAAAATTATTATTGAAGTCAAAAGTGAATATATTTGATATTTCTCCTTAAGTCTTAAAAAGTCTTTGGAAGAAATGAGTTTTTATTCAATGCTACTATTTTTTTTTTACACTATTGACATTCTAAAAATACTTCAAAAATTAAATACCGTAAATTAAATTAAAAAATCAAACTATAAAAGGTAAGATTTCGATTAATAATCTAATTTTTTCTCAAACCAAACCATCCTTTAATATTTTTGTTGTAGTTGGAATAAGTTTGTTAATCAACTTGTTAGTTAATCATGTGCATTTTATTAATAGGTAGATCCAACAAGACATTATTTTAAACTAAAATCATGACCCCAATCGGAAGATTTCAATTAAACCACCCAAAAAGGGGGAAAAAAGACGAAAGAGAGTGGGGGAGGTGCTCGAATGTAGCTGTCAAGTGTTGCCAACTCGTGTAGTAGTAATATTTATGTTGTAATGAGGAATTATTTAGGATCATTTCAACTAAAATAAGCTTCAAAGCATAACATATTATATATTTTCAAACATTGGATTGAAGCTTTGTTTCTTGTTCAGCTGCTTAATTTAATTGGAAGTAAAGAAAGTGTAAATGTATAATTGAGTAGTAATCATGACTCATGGCAAACGTGTTGGGACCCTAACAAACAAACAGATTGAGGTTGACATATGATTAATGTGCAGGACCACCACATGGGTACCCCGCATTTTAGACCATCAATCCGTTTGCTTTCTTGTTTTTGTTCTATCATTTTTATAAATTTCTGAAGGGACAAAGCATCCTCCATCATCGACTGGTCTAATTTCTGCGACCAAAATAAAAAGCTGCAAACCTGTCCAACCAAATTTAATTTCTCTACATGATTTCCTAAAATTTCTATGCACATTCCACCTCAATGAATCTGAGTCAAAGCAGGTTTTTGCTTCACTCAAAACTTGGCCTGACTCAGTTTGGATTTTTTATATTTTAACATTCGCATCTCATCTTAAAAGAAAGATAATTTTGAATTGATTTTTTCATTATAGGTAGCAATTTGTGAAGAAAATAACTACTTTATTTATTAACAATATAAATTAATGATATTTTTAAATAATAAAAATATTAAACATGTTATTAGAAAATCTTACGAGAAATCTCGAAAAATATTTGGTTAATTTAGATAAGGGCAAGACATTACAAAAATTATATTAAAACGTTATTAATTTTATCAAAATTACATCAATATTTGTCAAAATTATATCATAAGTTATCAAAATTATATTTACAATTATCAAAATTTTATTAAAAGTGATTAAAATCAAAATTATACCAAAAATTATTAAATTTTACTTATATTATACCAAAATCAAAATTAAATTATTAATATTTATCATTATTATTATAATATCAAAAAAATTTTATTAAAATAAATTTTTAAATATAAAAATTATATGTGCGTGTACGTGCATCACGCAACTATCAAAAACTAATATATATATATAAATGAGATGTCTCTTTTACACAAAGTTGTATAATATGAAGCAAATGCAAATCTTTCTATTTCTATCGAAATTTTGGACATGTTAATCAAATTGAAAATAAGTTTAGCATCCCAACTACAGGACTACTTCAAAGGCAGATTTAATGAAAAAAATTTTAAATTTGAATGAAATAATAATATTATTATATTAAAAAAATCATCTTATATTAAAATTGAACCTTTGCTTTCGTAAAAAAATTCATTGTTAAATATTTAATAACATAAATTTTATTAATAATTACTAAAAGTATATCATAAATTATCAAAAGATTACAAAAATGATATCAAGAAATTATTAATTTTATCAAAATTACCAAAATTGCATCAATACTTATCAAAATTATATTATAAGTTATTAAAATTTTATCAATGATAATCAAAATTAAAATTATATCAAAAGTTATTAAATTTTACTTTCATTTATTTAATAAATATATCAAAATTTTTATAAATTTTGCACATTTGATCTATATGATAAGATCTTTCAATTTATCGATTTAATTTTAATTTTTAATTTTATTTACTTATTCCTAATAATAAATTTAACGAAAATCTACCTTTAGAATTAACAAATTTGGATTTACAAGAAATCTATCTCCGTTAAAGTTATTGGTTTCCATCAATGTCTAATTAATATATGTTTTATCTGTTCAGTCTGGCATAGCTGCAATGAAATTCCAAGTTGCTTTCACATATCAAAGGTCAAAATGTGTTTAAGCCGGGGAAGGACCATGGACAGAAAGAAGAAAATGGATGACTATGAAATGAAACATGGATTTAACAAAACAACCAGGGAACTGCACGTGGACAACAGTAATAAAAATTTGTAGTAACCATGTTATGATCAAATTGGTTGCAATCGGAAATCCTACTTTGCCAAACACTACATTTCTAAAGTAACTTTGTATTAACAAAAGGTATGATTGAGATATATCAGTAACCATGATTAATTTCAATTCAATTTTTCATTTCTTAGTGCAAACTAAATCAACCACCATTGAAGGTTAATTCTCCCTTCTTACCTTTTTCGAATGAATTCAAGTCGGGACTTCTAATAGCTAAGGATGGGTTGCACTAAATTTTATGGATCATATCATAAAAGAATATAAAACTCATCTCACCTGCTGAAGGTGCAAATACAACTGGGACAGGACAACAAGGCATTTTCTCCCATTATAAATCTGATACTCAGGGTCGTATTCCTATATACATCACAAGATCATTCTTCAAAACCCTATTCATTGTAATAACTGCATTATTACATGTTTTATCCTTGATTGATTATAAATGTATGAACCCCAAGTCTTCAAGTTCCTTCACACTTTCTCCTTCCTAGTTAAATTCTTTGAATGCATAAGTTACTAATCCTTCTCCAAATCATAGTCTCAATCACCTTTTTCTAATTTACCTATTAATGTCTCGATGTTCCAACTCACGCAATGCAGCTTATTATCTTGCACTAACTTTTAATATACAACCGTCCATGAAAATGTGGGAACCATAACTCATTTTGCATTACATCTATGTAACAATGTAGCAACTCTTATACATCACTTCTCACCATGCTTAAAAAAATATAGGGAATAATCTAGCATTAGCACAGTGTTGGCTGTTGAATACTCAAAGCAATCCCCTTACTGTATCTAAAGACACCCCTAATATGAGTTAGCTCCTTAAAAATTGTCAATGTGCAGAAAACAAATAACCCTACATTAGCAGACTCAATAATTATCGTTATACCAATTCAAATAATTTTGTATCATGCTACATTCATACTTTGCGCACCTATTGACATCCCAAAATGCACGGAAGAAAAGAAAGTCAATATGGCATGAAGCTGATCAATTGATGTTTGGAGGATGACCACAAGAAAAGCAAAAGAGATCAGCAAAAAGTAAGTAGAAAAGCATCTTAATCATTCCAGAATGAAACATTATCATAAGTTCATATGAACATCTCCAGAAACAGTTTTCAGTCCTCCTGTTTGTCCTTTCCAAAGAAAAGAACAGAGAAAGGACCGGGGGGGGGGGGGGGGGAGGGTTAATTTTGGTAGTGAAGACTCAAGCTGCCTTGAGGAGCTAAGACAACCACAACATAGACAACAAAGCATAATCAAGAATGCAAAATTTAGCTCCCAAGATCCCTCACCTGACACCATACCTTAGCCACCATGAAAATTTGATGAATCCTATGTCGTACATTTTAGATAAAAAGCAGATATTTCCACCATAAAATAAGAATTCCATTTACTTCACAAATTCAAAATCCATTCATCTAGCATGTTCCATTTAGCTTCACTTTAATTCATTGGTCGGGAATAAGTCCAATTCATCATGGTAAGTCCCATCACTCTAAGGACATTTAAGCCATACATGCATTGAATTTTTCAATTTTTACAGTCTCAACTATGAAACTGCCAGCAGCAATCAGCAACTAATTTGATATAAGCTTGCATAAGAATGTAGAGAAGTACATACAGTGTATAACGATATATGCTAATAGAATAATTCGAATGGGTATTATTAGAGAGTTTATCCATCATAGAGAAGCAGCAACTACTCAACAAACTAAAAATAGCCCTAGGAAACCATGGCTGATTTTTTTGGCTTTTAAAATTGGATAAGATCCAAATTTATCACTCCCTTAAAGGTTATGGACAAGACTTATCATCCATCTTTGAAAAGGTGCAGTTTAAGCACTCCACTTTTAATTTGGTTGAAAAATGGTCAAATGTTAATGATAAAGGAACATTAAATCTTCACAGAATATTCCCCTTTCTCATTAACTTTCGATTACTATGAACCGAATTAAAAGTAAAGTGTCAAAATTGCACATGATAAAAAAAATGGGAGATAAATTTGGTCCATCGCTCTTACTTGAGTGGTAAAATTGGACCTTATCCCTTTAAAAATTAATAATTGCACCAAATCAATCAAGTAGCAAAAATAAGACGGTAACAATCAGGCATAAATACCAAATTCACAGTTGTACTTTGCGCCAATATTCAGTGTTGATCATTCTACTTTCATTTACTTCAATTCTATCGCTGAACATTTCTTGTGATCCAAATGCAATCAAAACTTAATGGTTCCTGAACATTATGCTTAAATGGGTTACAAAAATTAGCATTCTTATGATCATTTTTTCAGTATTTTCACTCTTTCTTCTTCCTTTACCTTCTCTATTCTTCTTTCCTTTTTTCCTGCTAGTGAACATGCCAGCACCAGTGGCTGCCACGTGACAGGCTAGAAGAAGCTGGTCATCTTCGGTGCCAATTTAGCCACATCTTGTGTCACCCGATGCCAATTTGGATCAGAGAGGCTAGGTCAACACTGGCCAACCTCCCTAAGGCCTCCTTGACAGTTCAAAGCTGGATTGGTTGCGGCAGTTGAGGTGGAGAAAACAGAGAAAGGAAAGAGAGGGAAAGGTGAAAAGGAAGAAAGAAAAAATGAGACAAAAAAAAAAAAACAAAATAATCATTTTCCACCTCAACATTTTTCTTTTTTCTTTTTTATTTTCCAAATCAGAATATTTATTAGTTTTTATAGTTCAAAAGGAATATTCCATGAAATAGTCCTTCTCCATTAATTCATGACACAAATCTGAACCAAAATAAAAGTTATGTGAGTGTATTGAACAAATGAAAGTAGAGCAACGAAATTGAATATAGCTCAAAGCATAATGGCTTATCTGGTATTGATTCCTAGCAATTAATTAACAGCTTTGTTCTGAAACAACAATTAGCCCAAAAGAAACAACAGTGGTAATAAAGCAGAAAATTGTAAGTAAAACAAAAAACCAATAAACCCCACGCCTTTACTTAGGGGTGTAATCGAATTGAGCTGAATTGATACAATGAAAAATTCAAGCTCGAACTTGAATCAAAACTCATTGCTCAAAACTCGACTCCAGTTCAATCGAGTTTTAACTTTCAAGTTCAAACTCAACTCTAAATAAAAATCGAGTTCCTCAAACTCATTCGATTTTTATACTTGATTTCACGCTTGATTACGTGTTTAAACTCGAGCTCAAGCTCGAATTAATATATAAGGATAAAATAGTAATTTTTTAATTAAAAAATAAAAATATATTAAAATTTAAAAGTTCCATCAAACTCACAAGCTATTTGAGCCAGGCATTAGGATGCTCGAACTTAGCTTGCCCAATAAGTCAAGTTGCTCGAGCTCGAGCTTGACTCAACAATGATCAAGCCGAATTCGAGTTTTATTCGAGTCAAGCCTAAGTAACTTGCGAGCATTGGTGTATCATTTACACTCCTGCCTATGCCTATGCCATAAAGCTCATTACAAGCCTTTTAGAGGAACACTCCTAAGCTAAAGTTCAGCATGGTTAAACAAAGTTCAATGATAGCTATTATGATAAGCAGAAAGGCTTCTCCATGCTTGTAAATTAAATATCTAAGCATGTGTATGCATGTGTATCGAGTCTTAGCGCAAAAAGTATGTATGTAATCAATTTCACATGCCATTAGATGGTAACATAGGGAACAGTGAACAGAGTCATCTATATAAAACTCTAAACACTTGTTAGAACCAAGCTTAAGCACATCGATCTCTTCCCAGAAAACTTTAGTCAAATTCATCAACTTAGACTTTAAGAGATCCAAATTCACATAACAACTTTCAGTCTATAGACTATAGTTAACTTGATGTCTTGAATAAAAACAAAACATTTAATTGCACCAAAAAACTTCGTTCAAGCATCTCAACTCTAATTCCAATGGTTCCTCATCCACTTGGTCAAGCAGAGTATATTTAATAGACCACATTTGTCGAAGTTCTTAACCAAAGCTGTCACAAGAGGTGAGGTGTAAGAATCAAAACCAGGAAAGCAGAAGATTCTCATTGCCTTACTTGTAAAGGAATCCACGCTAAGAAACTTTTTCTGCATCTGGGTGCCTGCACAATCAAGTGGATGCTTAAAACAATTCAAACCTGCCACCAGCCCGGTCTACCCTAATCAAATATGCACTTTTGCCCCTTCATTTTGTGTCCTATAGTCATAGGAATTTATAAGAAATATACTTAGAATGGCTTGCCAATGTCTTTTGAACACAAATATCGACACTAGGCATTGTGAAACTTTTTACTATGAAGGTCAGACAAATGTCAACTTAAAAAATCTCAGTAGTTGTAACTACGTTTGTAGACATGCAATAAATATAATCAAGTCTGCAAATATACAATCAATCTACCAACCAATAAATGCCCTAAGCTTTGCTGCCACTTAATCCAAAAGCATCTCTTGAAAGATCGATTAAGTTTGTACGTTTTTACCTTTGTTTAAAAAAAAATTTCCATTACTCATAAAGTCATCCTATATGTGTTTGATCCCAAGGAAAATCAGCAAAGCCCATTACAATTAACTTAAAAAGTACAAACTCATGCATCAGACACAGATCGTTCAGCCCATCCAACATTATCTAGATTGTACAACATGGTTGACAACCCTTCCTGTCTAAGATATATCAGATTAGTGAATAACCAAAGAGAAAAGAAAATTAGATTCTTGCAGCTAGATAACAGGTGATGAATAAATCTTCACAATCAGATAGATATGTTAGCTTCCTACAGGTGTAGTTTGAAAGTTTTAAATATGTAATAATTAGCAGAGAAAAGGATCAGTCAAGAAACTATTTCATTGGTTAATAATAAACTCAATTAACTTTATGATATTACAAACAACAATTGAAACCCGTCTTAAGTATCTCTAAGTGGGTTTCTTTTATAAACTTCTATGCAAAATGAAAGTAATCAGTAACCAGCTTTCTAGCATATCATCTGAGGTGAATTTCAGAATTAACACCTCTGTTGTAGGCTCACGCATGATTTGCCATGAATCCCTATCTATTTCTATACCCATATCCCTTATGGTTTATTTATTAATTAAATTTGTAAGTTCCCCAGGCTGAATCAGGTTTCGTCTACTTAGAAGACCAATTTATGGGAACATGACACCTTGAAGAGCAGATAATTTGCTCACAAATTATGCTTAAAAAATGTATGTGGTTTGAAACGAAACTGAAGGGAGTAAATGGCAAGAATAAACGAAATTTCTCTTCAACATACCAAACTACAAGCACAATAACAGTGTAATGATAAGAGCCAAGTAGTATTTCAGCATTTTATGAAAAATATAACCACGGGAGAAATCACATAAGGATCAATAGAGTATTCAACTCTTACAGCAAACAAAGATTTCATAACTATGTAAAAAAAAAAAAAGATCTTTGATTCTTGTCTTATTTACAAATAAGAAAGAAAAAACAAGACGAAAAGAAGTATAATTTCTGAGAATTAATAAGGAAACTAACCAGAGAAGTGGGTTTGATTGAGAAAAGAAAAATAAAAGTTGAGGTTAGCCAACATTGAAGGGACCAATATCACCGCTCCTGAGAGAGGCGGCAACTTCATCAGCAATTGTCAAGCAAGAAGAAACCCATCCACTTAGAGCTATCCACACCATCTTTGCCATCCATAGAGTCATGCCCCATGGCATTGCCATTTCCTACCTTTCTTTTTCTTTTTTGTTTGTTTTCTTCTTCTGCTTCTTTCTCTTTTAAATCACCAAGCAATTATTGTTTTTTTTTTATTATATTTTGAGGATAAACCAACCCTTTTGTTGAAAGAAATCAAGGAGATTGAACAATAAACTTGAGGGGAAATCAAAGTAAAAGGCAAAACTTTGATTTTCCTTTTGTTTCATTTCGTCGTTAATTACCTGTCGGTTGGGGAATTTGGTTTCTCTGTTTTAGTTTAGATGAACTGCCCAATACAATCTCGCCATGGAGGATCAAATAGATATGTACAAATTTGAGTTGTCAAATTGACTTGTTTTCTTCTTCTGCTTTTCCGGCAAAATGTTCGCACCTGGTTTTACAATGTTGAACATTTTACCTGGTTTTAAAAATTTGAGTTGTCAATTCCTTGAATATCTTTTTAATTTTAAAATATTATATTTAAAATTTTATAATACAACAAGATAAAAATTTCATATTTTTGAAACAGAAAAACACATAATTTTTTTTTTTTTAACTTTCGTTTACATTTTACCTTTAATTTGTAATTTTTCGAACATTATATTTATTTATATTTAATATATATGATATTATTTTATTATATATATTTTGTTTAATTTATTTTACATGAATCGACAATATAATTTTTAAATTAAGATATTAATTACTTTCACTTATATCATGAATAGATGTCTTTTGTCAACAATTTTATTATAATTAACTATTTGATCATGGTTAATTCAATTGTTATTTAATAAAAAAATTGAATAAAAAATATGGGGTGTGTTTAACGTGTATTTTTTTAATTTTGAAGAAAACAATGAAACTTTAAAATAATTAATTAATTTTCATTTCCATTTTTTTTATAATTGTATATTGACTTATAACATTTTAATGATTTCTTAATTAGGTCAATCAAATATTAATTTTTGTTAAAAGTTGATTGAAAGTTCACTAATCAAATAAATATGGTATTTGTTTTAATACATAACAATTATTTCACTTTACTTTTTTTAAAAAATTTTTATGTTGTATTTTTAGAAGTTAAAAGTAAGATAATTCAATTGTATCTATTAAATTATAAATTTATGATAAAGATAAGATACATATAAATTTTAAATTATTAATTTATAAATATTAATAGGTTAAATTCTTCAAAGTATACCATTATATATATATATATATATATAATCGAGGGATCAAGTTACGTTAAAAATGTTTTATACCTTTTTTACATTTTTTTTATTATTGATTTTAATAGATTTAAGGTGTGAGAGAAATAAGTTAAAAAAATAGTTTAATTTTATCTCTTGAATCTATTGAAATCAATCCTAAAAAAATATAAAAATAAAATATTTTATATTAATGTAAGTTGATCTCATTTTGTATAAGTTTCTCTCTTTATGTACATACGTACATATATATATATATATAATATCACCCATATTACAAAATAAAATTTATAATATTATATGCTATTATGAAATATAATTTCTTATCAAAATTATAAATATACTTTTTTTAAAAATAAATTTTTTTTTCAATGAATAATCCTTTACTTTTTTTAATAGTAGTGTATGTAGAAAAATATATAATTAATTTGTTTGTCCATACATGGGCTTAAAATTAATTGAGTTAAAATAGTGCGTGTAGACCTTTCCACTTCGCCTAATTTTCAGTTGTCGATTCAATCATTATTGAAACTCAAAACAGATCATCATAACCGGCATTTGAAATATAATGAAATATTAAAAATGTTATTTGAATTTTAAACATTTTTAATATAATATTTAATTTATAAATTTATTAATTAATATGATATTTAAAAAAATTATTCATTATATATCATCATTTAAAATTAATTACTTAAAAATTAAATATCATATTAATTAATATATTTATAATTTAAATTTCATATTAAATATTTTTAAAATTTATACATCGCATTAATTATTTTATTATAATTCTCACTGTAATTTAAGAATTACTCTAGACGTTAACCTAAACTCAAAAGACCAACTGAGAATTGGCTCCCAAAATTTATCCAAAAATAGATTCAACTCTCAACTAGAACTTCAATTCGATGAAATGGTAGACTGCACTGCCTTATTTTACCGAACAGCATCGAGTTGATTGCCCGAAGAGAAAATCGGTTCCGAAAGTTGTTCAAAGTAAAACCAGGTAGATCAACCCGTTTCATATGCAGCGCATCCCTAGGTACCATTTTCATGACATAAGAGTTGGCATGAAGCTCACTGTTAGAAAGGGTTAGAAACAGGCTACAACAGTTCCATAGCCGCTGCTGCTGCAACAGCATTAAAAAGGGAAGGAGTTACCTCCGTAAATTAAAGATACCAGATGGCAAACAAGATGACAAAGCAAATCGAAATCCAAAAAGATCATAAACGGAGAAATGAAATTTAAGAATGCAGCCCAGGCGTTATAACATTTATAAATTCAGAATATAGATAATATAAACCCTAAATGGAAGATCCATTCGGATACAAGATGGCATGCAAAACGTATATCAGGGGAAATGTTGTTGAGCACCTATTCTTCGTGAAGACATTTGAGGTAAATACGAAAAATAAAATATCGTAAGCGTGCATTGTCATGTCAAGGTCTATGTTTGCATATTACTCATCATCCTTGTAAGGGTACTCTTCTGGGACTTGATTCAAAAGTTTCACCTGCAACTCATAGGCATCATCTCCCCTGAGCATATCGCGGATCCAGGTGACTTCAGTCTTCATTGACACCTGAACAAAAGAGGGAATTGCATAGTGAAGAAAACAGCAAAGGTGATACCAATAGGTTGACTTCGGGCTTCGGCATTAGCAGATGATACAGCAGTTAAATGCTAGTTATTCAGGGCTCAGAATATTCTAAAGCAACAAGTGCAAATCTGTCCCACTTCCCCTCCTATTCTTTAAGAAGTAGAAGAAGAATGAATTATTGCAATATCAAAACTACCAAAGGTCCGAAAATACTTATTAATCTTTGAGGCATGGCATTAAATAATAATCAAGATCGATACATGAGAAGCTTAAAATAGCATGACACTTTGATTATAGAAAATATAGGTTGGACTTTTCCACAACACAAGACAAATTCACAGGCCAGGTTAAACTGTTCGTAAACAGAGAATACTTTTATCCCAATTGAATTGCTAGTAATTAGGAATAATTCATTGCATACAATACCCAAGAAGATCATCACTTTCATTCATGAATATGAAAGAAAGGTTTAATAATACCTTTACAACAGATAGCCACATTGGTCTATCTTACCAGAGATCATGATGAAACTCATACTTTAAACAACACAATAAAAAGGTGTAAAGTTTTTAGACGTCCAATACCAACAATGCTCAAAATTAAATTTTACCAACCTAACCTTTCTAACTTACATCACACTTAATGAAAAGTGGTACTGATATTGCAAACGTCAAAGTACTTTTAAAATAGCCACTGCATAATTGACAGTGGTGGTCAAAGATCAAAGATGTCTTTATACTTCAAGTACCATTGTATTGAACCCACCTAAGGTAAAAATGGATCATAGTCTTCAAACTATAAAATGGAAGGGGATCAAAGATGTCTTTAAACACTCACCATCTCTAGGGCTCCTCTTATGACTCCACTTAAGATGTTGCAATAGTAGAGACCTTGACACGTATCAGGAAGCTCTACAAAGTCTACAAGGGGATTATCATCCAAAACAATGCTGCAACAGGTCCCATCAGCATCCCAGTTTGTAACAGATGCAGTGACGCCAAGGAACATTTTGAAACCCACCTATATGGAAGATTCATTAGCACTGACAAGATTTGGGGCCTTCTTCATACTTGTTAAAAACAGAACTAAGATGATATCTTAAATGGCTTCAGCATAAACAAGTCCAGCAAACATTTCAAACCTAGAGCAATGTAGAACTAAGAATCATAAATCTTTCAAAAGCTCACGTGGGTTTATTAAAAAGTAAAATGATCCATTTGAGAAGGGGAAAGTGGGAAAAAAGGCATCCGTATGTGTTCATGAAAATGCATATGCCCGATCATATATTTTTTCATGCACATGTTATTGTCTTCTTTCAATTGGCAATTTAGATTCCTCAGAACAAGTATGCACATACCATCATACATAAAAGTTTACTAAAATCCATAGCCTATAATTTAGATCTGCTTGAATGAAGAAAATAAATTAGTGATCCACCTGACATGCTGATGCTGTAACAAGCAGTTAATCATAAATTATTCTGGCAGAAAAGAAAAATATAAGCAACTCAGTCAAAGAATATTCCTATTCTGTTACTGCATATATAAAATGATGAAGCATTCTGGCAGCAGCCTCGAAAGGTGTTTAGAAGGTGTTTTAAGGCTGGTTCTAATGCACAAGCCATATTTGGCACATGTCCAATAATAAGAAGCTTAGATGGCTTTAAGTAGGCTTTAAGTCTTAAATTTATGTTACTTCAAGTTAAAGTTGAAGGTTTGTATTCTATTCTCTGTTTTCTTAAGTTTCAAGTGTCACAGGAATTTTTATAATCTTTCACATTGTTAGAAATTGAACATTTTAAGTCCAGGAAGTTAGTTTGGGTTTTTCTTATGTATAGGGTTCTTATTTATAGTTTATGTGTTGTTTTATATTAAGTTTGTTTGTTTCCTATTCAGAGTCCAAATAGTTGTTAAAGTCCTAAGTGTTATTTCAGTCTTTCTATATATCCAGTCTAATTTACTCTCTATTGAGATAAGAGAATTAGTATCATAAGATTTCCTGCATTACTGCTCTTTTTATTGTTAGAATCAAATTTAGCTGTGTTCTTCTCTTCTTCTCTTTTTTCTCTGGTTAATTTTCTTTGTTCTATCAAGAACCCAAATAAGAAAATTGTCATAAATCCTAACCATCTAGTTGTCCAACATCATCCAATAAGAGATTTACTCATATTTCTACCACAAATCTATGTTCCAAACCCATCCATCTTCATTAGTTAATCTACCTGTTATTTTTTGCTCACTGTCTTTCTTCACCTCAAAAACCAATGAGATAATAATAATAATAATAATAATAATAACACTGAAAGGAGAGAGAAAGCAAGATATGCACTACTCCAAATAGCATTTTATGGACAGAAGATCAGAGAGCAATTATGGAACATATGAAAGAAAATTTGAATCAATATATATATTTGACCACAAAATAAAACTCAGTAATAGTAGACCTTTGCAATCACTTCTGCTGTCTCCTTAAAGTCAACACATCTGGACACATTAGATTTTGCCAGAAACTCGTCAATTAGTCTAATTCCTATATTATAGCCCCTGCATGGTAAAAGAAGTAGTTAAGCAGTCTAAAATTTGACATCATGTAATCAACTTCTTAACTTAATTATACAAAATAAAAGGCTATCAATAGTGAGAAATGCTTGCAATCCGAGCAAACAAGAACAAGAAAGTTGAATCCCACCACAATCCAGTTTCTGAACTTAGCCAACAGAGTAAAATGAAACAAAAACAGGAAGAGACATTCAATTCAGTCAACAATCTAAATAGAAGTACATAACTCCTAAACTGATGACTCTCCCCTCTCTCCATCCCTCCTTCAGCCATCAAAACCACATCCTATACATTCCAAATCTCCCTCATCAGATGGTCAATATCTAGTCACTCCAGTAGGCACAAATAAAGAAACCCCAGAACTAATGTTTCCAGCATACAGAACAGTCTGACAACAACTACTCCTCAAAACAACAGTGATTGATTCTTTTCCATCATCACTTAATCCTTATACCGGCCTCAGCACCACATCTATTTGAAATTTAACCCAAAACTATTTTCGCCTTTCAACTGATTCTTATATCTTCCACACGACAAATTGCCAATAAAATACCAGTTGAAAGGAATCAACTACTTGCTCTAGCTCCCTATTTTCACTGTTCTTACAAAACCAGCACTCAATTCTCAAAAATAATAATAATAAAAGTCAGATCCAGAAACATACAATGTTATAGATGTCTCCTCTTACCAAATTCAAGCATAAAAGATTTTCCCCCAATCCCCATTGGTGAAAATAATGAAACTCAAAGCTGCCTTCCACTCACTCCAAATTCCTCCCAAATTTGAATCCCATGGTATCCTCTAGCACCAGAAGTAGATCATTGTTTCTCTAAAGAAACAAGTCAATGAGTTACCTAATTCCTGGACATTAAAATCCATAAATAAATAGGTGAGCACACATTCTTCCTAGCAAACAAATGGTAAACTTTTTTCCAAGACCATCCAAACAATAATCATTTGATTTTCACAACGGTTAGCACATGAGATGCTTAATTAAGAATGATTGCAAAATAATTGTGGGAAAACACTTATTTACAGCTGGTTGTAATCTTGTAATTTGTATATTTATATTTGTATATCTAGAATTAAGTATTTGTATCCCTAGAATTAAGGACAAAAAATTAGGATAGACAATCCCTCAATTATAGGATTAGTTTTTTAGGAAGATTTAATTTCCTAGTTTAACCCCTAGTTAGTTGTATATAAACCTAAGGTTCTTGTATAATTCTTAATTAACAGTTTTTCAATATACATTCAGTTTCCACACTGATTTATTTCTTAGTTTTTCCACAATAATCCATTTATTACATACAGAGGATTAACTTAAAATTTTAATCTACTATGGACAGGAGTGAGGATTTAGGGAATAGTCTAAGTACAGAATATAAATGTAGATAGCTCTGATAACTCAAGATAAAAGTGTAGAAAGCTCCAAAAGTTTTTATGAAGAACCGCACATGTTGTAACAGCTTTACCCTTCTGTAACCGCACATGTTGTAACAGCTTTACCCTTCTCTAATCATACTTCAATTAAAGCAACTTCTTGCGTATCACATCTAACAATGACAACAAGATTTCTGGTTGCTCCTATCCAGGATTAATTACTAGCTTGTCATGTTTCTAACTCTGTAATGGTTAACAATTGGTAACTCTTCAATATTAACATTCCTGTTGGATTATGGGGTCCAACGGTCTCCTTTAGGGACTCGGTATGTCGGTTCATCTAGGTGAGGTATCCCATAGTGGATCGGATTCCGGTGTATGGCAACCCAACCTGCCAAGGCCCAATGGGTGAGGTATCCCATGAAGGCTTTGTGAAGCCCCTTATGTCCACCTGTCGCTTAGTATGGGGCTCTGCACTACCAAAAAAAGAATAAGAAAATAGAGTTACGCCTTCACTATCAGCTATAGCTTTTGGTGTAGTGGTAAGCACTTGATCCTGAAAACAAGTTTATACTAATATCAAGGTCAATCTAATCATCAAACAATATATCAATTTCACAAGCTACAATGTCACAAGCCATATCATAATGAAGATGAAAGATAGATTTCATTAATATAAACATCACATACAAAAGTTTGATAGCAAACCATAATGCAAAGTATTTTTAAAGACAAATTTACAACATAAAAAGATGTGCGAAAACATATGAGGAATGGCACTAGGAAGGATCAGGAGGTGGAGAATGAAGAGATTGATGAGGATGAGGAGAATGAGGGAAATGCTATCTCATGTGCTGTTGTGCAGACCGCATTTGTTCAATGTCAGCTCCAACTTGGCGAACTTGAGACACTAGCTCATTTTAAATCTCTTCCATGTTTTCTAATCGAGTGTTCATAATCCCAACCACTGAATGCAGACTGTTAAGCATAAGCATTTCTAAAGCTCCTTGGGTATCAAATGGTAGGGTAGAAGGTTCTCTTTGAGGTTCAGGAATATCTGAAAGTTCATGCTCTTCGACTAGAATAGAATATAACAAAAAGAATATATTGGAAATATCTCGAATAAACGAATTTCTATTTTATATTTTATACACGAACAAGAATTCAAGGAAAATAGATGCGATAAGACAGAAAAAAGTTTAATTTGGATTGCTTGCTATTCCTAGTTAGAAAGATTTATTACTGACGAGCCACAGCAATTGCACCTATCAAAGCAACTAAAAGAATTAGTGAAATGAATTCAAATGGAAGAAAAAAATCTGTTGCTAAATGAATTCCAATTTGTTGACTATTACTTATCAAATCTTGTTCTATAATTTGGTTTGATCTTGTAGTCCAAATAATCCCGTACCATGATGTATCTAATATAGTAGTAATTAGCGAAACAAGAATACTTGTACAAATCAACGAAGTAAGGCCATTCCCTATGCAGCCCCAATATCAATTTTTCTAATACATTTTGAACATATCCCATACTGTGCAAAGTAGGAGCACCAAGAACACTAAATGGATTATTGAACACCATCTCCTTATCTCTTATAGTATTAACATCCAATTTTCTCAAAAGATTACTAATGACAAAACCATAGAGCAAGGTATAGTCTCTATTTTGTACTACCCTCATCATATCATTGAAAATGAAATGCACCAAATTGGGTTTTTGTTGATGCTTGATTTTATACATCCACCAGTAATCTTTCTTCCTAATGGTTGAGTATTGAGTGCCAAAAGGTGCCAACATATGAGTGACAATAAGATGTACCAACCTATCATGCATTGACAATCTAGAAACTTGAGTAGGAGCAACTTGTAAATTGTTATTTCTAAAAATATCTTGAGCTAGTTCCACCATGTCACACCTAGCATTGGTTTCTCCCTCATCATCTAGCATGAATGCTTCAGCTAGCAATTGCTTGGTAACTATAATTTCTTTCTCCATCACATATGTTCTAAATCTATCAAAATAATACCTATGTGACCTTTTAATTTGAATACAACTAGCATTGCTATAAAACACCTTCACTAGATTCTCAAATAAAAATCCATCCATGCACAAGTAATTTAGCCATCCAAATCTCTTAAAAGCATGTTAGTAAGGGAATTCTATAGATTGTAGGAATTCAAGTGAAATTAACCTTCCAATGCTTGACTTCCCTACGAGCAAAATGTGTCTCATATCTTTCCTTTGCATCTAGATTGGCAAAATTTTTATTGAAGGAAGGCCTCATTGATGAGCTAGAAGCCTCCCTTGGAGGATTCCTCCTTTTTCCAACACTTACTTTGGTCTTTGGAGCCATGAAAATGATGGGATAATGGAGATAGGTAGGTTTATGTGAAATTGATGAGAGAATTGGTGATTGTAGGTGATAAGGAGTAAAATATGTTTGAGAGACACCAGAAGGATGAGTGAATGTGGTAGTTTCAAAAGGGGATCAACTTTTAGAATGAGAAGAATAAATGGAGACTTTTTAGTGATTTGATGATTTTTAAAGAAGATATTTACAAAAAATCAAGTTGAAATGAAGGAATTTGCAAGAGATTTTGTTAAGAAGGATCAATTTTTTAGTGAAAATGGAGTGAGAATGCTTAGGGTTTAAAGAGAATGAGTTTGGGGAAGAAGAAGAACAGATGAAAGGGCTTAAATGATCAGCCAAAAGAGAAAGGACCCGATTTTATCAAGCCAAAATGGTACACATAGTGCCCATAATGCATGACCTAATCGATCAGTTGTGATGGAGGATCGATCGGTTGTGTTTTTCCATTGGACTGATTGATCGTTTATGAAGGAGGATCAATCGGTTCTTCACATTTTCAACTTAGTTTAGCTACTGGATGGAGACCCGATCGATCCTGTCCAAAGGGGATCAATCGGTTCCTCTATGTTTTCCCTTTAATTTGGCTACAAGGAGAATAACCAATCGATCCGATCCAAAAGGGATCGATTGGTTTTCGCTGTAGCATTTTTTTTTTTTAAGATTTAAAAACCATGCAATATGAATATTCAAACATGCATCATACAATCATACACAAGCTTAAAAAATATTTAGATAAACATACATTTGATTAATCAAGAGTGCAACATAACATCAAGAATTTCATTACAAGGAGCATTCATCATACCAAGTTCATCTCTAATTGCATAAAATCTATTCTTATCAAGAGGTTTTATGAAGATATCAGCTAGTTGATGCAAGGAATCAACATATTCAAGTACAATATCACCTTTTTTAACATGATCTCTAATAAAATTATGCCTAATTTCAATATGTTTGGTTCTAAAATGTTGAATTAGATTTTTGGTGAGATTGATAGCACTAGTATTATCACATTTAATGGGAATATGATCCACGGTAATTTCAAAATCCTCCAACTGTTGCTTAATCCACAAAACTTGACCACAACAACTACCGGTCGCTACATATTCGGCTTCGATTGTGGATTGAGCAACACTATTTTGTTTCTTGGAAAACCATGATATGAGCATATTTTCAAACAATTGACAAGTACCGGAAGTGCTCTTTCTATCAATTTTGCACCCACCAAAATTTGCATTGAAGTAGGCATGTAAAGCAAAAGATAAACCTTTTGGATACCATAATCTTAAATTAGGGCTATCCTTAATTTTACTCCTTATCACCTACAATCACCAATTCTCTCATTAATTTCACATAAACCTACCTATCTCCATTATCCTATCATTTTCATGGCTCCAAAGACCAAAGTAAGTACTGAAAAAAAGAGAAATCCCCCAAGGGAAGCTTCTAGCTCATTAACGAGGCCTTCCTTCAATCAAAATTTTGTCAATCCAGATGCAAAGGAAAGATATGAGACAAATTTTGCTCATAGGGAAGTCAAGCATGGAAGGGTAATTTCACTTGAATTCCTACAATTTATAGAATTCCCTTTACATGCTTTTGAGAGATTTGGATAGCTAAATTACTTGTGCATGGATGGACTTTTATTTGAGAATCTAGTGAAGGTGTTTTATAACAATGCTAGTTGTATTCAAATTAAAGAGTCACATAGATATTATCTTGATAGATTTAGAACATATGTGATGGAGAAAGAAATTATAGTTACCAAGCAATTGCTAGCTGAAGCATTCATGCTAGATGATGAGGGAGAAACCAATATTAGGTGTGACATGGTGGAACTAGCTCAAGATATTTTTAGAAATAACAATTTACAAGTTACTCCTACTCAAGCTTTTAGATTGTCAATGCATGATAGGTTGGTACATCTTATTGTCACTCATGTGTTGGCACCTTTTGGCACTCAATACTCAACCATTAGGAAGTAAGATTACTGGTGGATGTATAAGATTAAGCATCAACAAAAATCTAATTTGGTGCATTTCATTTTTAATGAGATGATGAGGGTAGTACAAAATAGAGATTATACCTTACTCTATGGTTTTACTATTAGTAATCTTTTGAGAAAATTGGATGTCAATACTAGAGGAGATAAGGAGATGGTGTTTAATGATCCATTTATTGTTCCTAGTGCTCCTACTTTGCACAGTATGGGATATGTTCAAAATGCAGCAGGCTTATGGGTTAGAAAAACTGATATTGGGGCTGCACAAGAAAAGGGGGAAAAGCATGAACTTTCAGATATTCTTGAACCTCAAGGAGAACCTTCTGCCCCACCATTTGATACCCGAGAAGCTTTAGAAATGCTTATGCTTCAAATGAACAGTCTACATTCAATGTGTGGAATTATAAACACTCGATTAGAAAACATAGAAAAGACTCAAAATGAGCGTCCCAAGTTCACCATGTTCGAGCTGACATTAAATAAATGCGGTTTGCACAACAGCACATGGGGCAGCATTTCCCTCATTCTCCTCATCCTCATCAATCTCCTCATTCTCTACCTCCTCCTCAATGATCCTTCCTAGTGCCATTCCTCATATATTTTCCCACTTTTTTTTATGTTGTAAATTTGTCTTTAAAAACACTTTGCATTATGGTTTGCTATCAAACTTTTGTATGTGATGTTTATATTAATGAAATCTATCTTTCATCTTCATTATGATATGGCTTGTGACATTGTAGCTTGTGAAATTGATATATTGTTTGATGATTGGATTGACATGGATATTAGCATGAACTTGAGTTGGTATGGCCTTGAATTGATTGTTATCTCACTTTGCTTCACTTCATTCTTTATGACAAAAAGAGGGAGAGATAATGGCATGAAAAATTGCTCTGATGATCTTGATGGTATTGATGATTTTGATTGTATGAACAAAATTCTACTTGATGATATTGACATTGGTTTTGTTCTTAGTTGCCTTAAAATTTATGCTTAAATTTAGGGGAGCTTGTTTTTAAAATGGAAAAATGTTTTTAAGCAAAATTTTCACTTGGTTGTCATATCAAAAAGGGGAGATTGTTGGCCTTGAATTGATTAAAAGTTTTGATTTGACAAACAAAAATTTACCTAACTTGAATCAATCTCTCATAATCTTAAATTGAACATTTTTCCAGTCTTTATCTTGCCAAAATTCATTTAGGAACTAAAACAAGACAAAATTTTTGAAACAAAATGGAATTAGGCATAGAAGGGATCAATCCCTTAAGGGAAAGGATCGATCTCCTGCCCTGCCAGATCGATCCCCTAGCAAAAAGGATCGATCTATTTTTCTTCCAAAAGCAAAATTTCGTGAAGTTTTGGCAAGAATCAATCGATCCTCTCTCTGTAGGGTTCGATTGGTTGGGGTTTCAAGCTTACCCGATCGATCCCTCCTTTAAAGGGATCGATCACAAAATGCTCTCCTTGCCTAAAATTCCAGAAAAGGGATCGATCCCCCCACATAGGGGATCGATCCCTCTCTTAAAGGGATCGATCAGTTGTTCAAACAAAATATCTCCTTGTTTGAAAATCCAAAAAATGGATCAATCCCCCCACATAAGGGATCAATCAGGTGCATTACCTAATTGTTCCGGTAAGGCATTTTAAGCACAAATTCAGGCTTCCTCATAACTGAGCCAATCGATCCCCTAAAGGAGAGAATCGATCTCCTGATACCCAGAAAGCTCCAACAGCTATATTTTGTCTGATATTTTTGCAAGTTTGAAGCATTAAATGCAAAGCAACGGCTCTCAACTTTTTCCTACCTATAATGAAGCCTTCCACTGCATAACAAGAGTAAGAAGAGCTAAGAGAACTTATTGTTATTCACCAACCACCTTGTTCAAGCATTCAAAGCGGTTCAAAGAGAGAAAAGTGTAGAAAATCCTACTTATATCGGTTTTTCTCTAAATTTTCTTGTCAATATTGTTGTGTACTTCAAGTTAGCAAACACCCAACCTTAGAAAGGTTCTTAAAGTTTGCAAAATACTTCAGAAACTTTATATTGTGAGTTTGTGAGCTTAAAGGGGAGGATAACCCTTAAGAGTTTGTGGTGTTGATTGTGTAAAGCTTTGAGAAACTAGGTTGTATCTTTCAACACATAGTGGATTAAACTCCTTGGCAAGAGAGGCTAAGGGAGAGGACGTAAATGCCTAAAGAAATGACCGAACCTCTATAAATCTTGGTGTCCAATTCTCTATCTCTATCTCTATCTCTTGTTTACTATCATTTATTGTGTTTATTTGTTTAGATAAATTGTTTTGCTGAATTTGTGATTATTAAGTATTGATTTTGAAAATTTTATTATAACCAATTCACCCCTTCTTGGTTTATTTCAAGTCTTTGAGCTAACAATTCCAATTCCCAAGCAATGATTCATTCACTTTAAAGTCATTGCCCTTATACCTACCAAGTAAATTTCAAATTCCCCCCACCCTGAACAACTGGCTAGATTGATACATTTTGGAGTATATGCAACATAAAATTTTTTCATTCCATGTAGGAGTAGAAAAGTTGTCTGGGGACTAAAAATCAAGTCAACTAATAGTGTTTATGAGCCAACCCTTCATGGCATCAAGTTGAAAGATTGCACGGTCTAAACGAGTGTGAGAGAAACACAAAGATGCCTGCAGACATGTGTCAATGCTTCACATACATGAAAATGTGAGCACTCAAATGTTAACATATTGGCATAAGGCTCCTATCATGATAAGAAGATAGCAATAGTAAAATATAGTAGCGATTATCGTGCTCATTTTATACAATCAAAAAAGAGTCAAACCTCAACAAATCAATATGATCAAATAAAATAAATAGTATCATACTTTCAGAACAACAACATCAAACCCATCATAAATCATGCATTGATCAAATAATTCTAGTAAATAACTATTGAATGAAACTGAACAATGTTTGTCCAAAGGGGAGAGTGTACATTTGATCAAGCTGTTTGTTGACCTCCTCAACCTCCTCCAAGTCAGTAAGCAATTGACGCACGATTGCTCCATAAGTCAAAGTGAATAGTTCTGCATTCTACACCAATTCAAATTCCAATATATCATCAACATATCAGTTATCAAAACCAACACAATCGGCAGAATAAATTTCCTTTGGTACCAAAAAACATATTATACAAATTTTAGAAATCAAACTTAGAAGAATCAGATCCCCTCGAGTCATAAAATTTCTCTCTTTCTCTCTGAATAATATGACCGATGCAGAAAATGAGAAATCAAACGAGAAATCATGATACGAAAGGAAACCAAGCGGTCCACGAAATTTCCAAACAGAATGAGAAAATTAAAGAATTTTAGTTCAGTTTTATCTTACCACGCGTTCGACGCTGGCGAAGATGGCGTCACCGGATCGAGGAGCCGCGGGAGGCATTTTTCTGAGATCTAATCAAATCTAATTAAAATATGTTCACGCGAACTTCTATAACAACTTAAGCCCGAAATCACAGAATACCTGGAACTGCTCAAATGAAGGAAGAATCCGTGAAAAAGAACAATGGCGAACAAGATCGCCTGGGGCTGCTGCTGTGGTCGGAAGAGGCAACAAGAAGAAAGGCTGTGACTCCAGCAGTGGCAGGTGAAAGACTGAGGCAGTGACGATGAAGGATACTTTTTTTGGCCAATAAAGCGAGTATCGTTCTTTTTCTTTTCTTTTTTTTTTTCATTATGTGCGGTAATTTTTTTATTATTTTCTTAAATTAAAATTAAATTTGTCAATATTAATATTTTATTTTTTAAATGATAAAATTAATCATTTGTATTAATAAAATATTTCATAAAACATTTTAATTCGTTTTTTTTTAAATCAATATTATATCTGTAAGCTTATTTCCCAATATATAATTTTTTTGCCAAATCATTTCCATGTTATATTTTTAAATATTTTAAAAAATAAAACTAAATTATAATATTCTAAAAAATCAACTTCTCCACCTTTTTTTCTCTTTAGCTCTTTCTATTTTTTCTACGTCCTTTATACTTCTTTTTGTTCTTTTTTAGGGTTCCTCTACTTTTCAAGTGAAAACTAAGAACAATATTATGACAATTCAGGACAACTTTATATAACCACAAATCAATGTTTTAATATATCCAATTTTTGTTTCATTTTCTGTTTGAATTCCAATTATAATTAGATTTTATAAAAATATTAATCTTCTGTAATAGGCATTTGATGTATCACAAAACATGTTCGATAAAATGTTAATGAGAGAAATCAATTAAGCTGTTGTATAAGTCTAAGGAAGTTTTTTTCTTGGATAAAAGGTGTATTCATTATCCAAGAAGTAATAAACAGCTACAAAGTTACAGTCACATTCTTCAACAATTTACAATTTAAACATTTCTCTACTTAATTTTCATCTTTCACATAATTCTTTATTTATATTATCATGAGTAATGCTCTTTAGTCCAATTAATCTCATTCGAACTGTTGTCTTTATCTTCTGCACAATCTATTGCCCTTCATGCTCCTTTGCCTTGTAAACTCTGTTGTTCCTTTTTGCCTGAATGTAGTATATGTAGGCTTCTCATGCTAATTTGAGAATAACTGATATGAAGGACTTTCCCTTTAACTTCTTTATTGCCCACCAGCAACTTCCTTTCTCAAGCGGCACAATTCCAATACTTGCTTCCATACGTGTTTTTTAATACCTGCAACTAAAAAACACGTGAACCCTAGTCTCTGTTTCCTGCCTGCATTGCAAACAAACCCCATCTATAAAGATACCTCATACAGTCAATCTATCTTTTGTTGGAAGCCTGTTGAGGACTACCATCCAAGTTCTTACGGCATCCTTAGGTATGTAAAGCTTACACTAAACCAGCTTGTGCCATCTCACTTTCTCTTCCCTTACCCCTATCTCATCCCAAACAGTAGCAGCAGAATACCCAATTCCTTTTTGGGGCTAAACCAGTCCATTATCAGTCTATACTAGGAACTTAGTGGCAATGCCTCTCATCTGCAACACTTTCTTCATGCTCTAGCTTAAGTTTTGGGTGATCTATATCTCACAGATGCTTCTGTCCTTTGGTACATATCTCTGCAGCCATGCAATCCAGAAGGAGCCTGCTTGGATGGACCATAATAACCTCAGAATACATGCTTGGTTCCAACTTCCATTGTCTTTTGGCCCCAATCCACCCTTAGATTTAGGTTTAGGTTTGCATACTACGTGCCAACTAACTCGTGCTCCAGTTGCAGGACTTGCTTAGCCTTTTCAAAAGTATCTGGTGCAAAGCTGACCGATATGCTTTATGACCCTTTTGGGAAGAACAAACTGCCTACACCAGCAGTTGTGCCTACTATATAAAACAGATTGGATCAGATGAAGCCTACTAGCTTGAGAGATATCTCGTAGCCCATCTGTCTATTCTGGTAGTGATTTTCTCTATTAATAACCTGTAGTAAGCCTACGAGTTACCAAAGAACACCAAGATACTTGACAGGTAACCTGCCCCTTATAAAGCCTGTAACCTGCAGAATTTCATCAAGCTTAGCCCTCGGGATGCCATTGCAAGATAATTCACTTTTCACATGATTTAGTTGAAGGCCAGATAATGTATAGAATAACCGCAACACATTCCAAATTCCCACCACTGAATCAAGTTTTCCTTCTGTGAATAAGAGCAATCATAAGCAAAACATAGATGCATCAACTGAACTTGCTTACACTTTAAATGATAAGAAAGTATTCCATGTAAGGCTGTAGCATCCAAATGCTTTAAGAAAACATTCATGGCAATGACAAACAAGTAGGGTGACATACGGTCCCCTTGTTTGACTCCCTTGGCACCTTTGAAGTACCCAACCAATCCACCATTGATGGACAAGGAAGGTATTAGAGTAGTGAGGCAGCTTGTAATCCACCCAACATACCTTTTTAGAAATCCCATTGCCTGAAACACCCTTGTCAGAAAACTCCAACTGATGCAGTCAAATGTTTCCTTGAGATCAATTTTTACAACACACTTGGGTGAGAGAGTTCTCCCGCTATATCCCTGCCCTAAGTATGTTATCTATTATTCTTCTTCCTCTGATGAATGCACTCTGACTTCTACTAATGAGAGTAGGCAGAAACTGTTGCATTCTTGCTGCCAAAATCCTTGTAATGCTTTTGTAAATTACAGAGCAATAAGATATTAGCCTACAGTTCAAGATATTTGCTGGAAATTGGCACTTTGGCACTAAAGCAAGGACTATGGAATTAAAAGCAGGAAGCAAGTTATTTGTTTGGAAGAAGTTTAATATAGCTTCAAGGACATCATTCCTTACAATATTCCAAACTACTTTGAAAAAATGAGCACTTTAACCATCAGGGCCAGGTGCCTTTTCACTGTGTTGTGAGAAACTGGCTTCCTCGATTTCTTATTTGGTTACATCTCGTGAGAGCACATACCTTTGTTCATCAGTCAAAGAGACTCGGATTATGTCAGCCAACAACTCCCTCAAGCTTTGTTCTACATTGGCAGCCACTGTCCCTAGCAACTGTTTGAAGAATCCCATAGCCTTGTCTGAGATTTATTCAAAACTTTCCAACTTTTCCCATCCTTATGATATAACGCTCTTATAGTGTTCCATTTCTGCCTGGCCACCACTACTTTATAAAAGAAACCTGTTTTCTGATCTTGTTCTTGAATACACTGAATTATTGACTTTTGCCTCCATAGGCTTTCCTCAGTTGTCAGCAGGTCATGTAGTTCCTATGACAACTTCCTCTATTTCTCTTGTTCAGCTTCTGAAAGTTGAGTTAAAGCCTTTATTTGGACACCCACAAACTCTTCCCCCTTCTTTTGAATTCTCTCTACTATATCACCAAATTGGAAGAAGTTGAATCCCTTTAATACCAACTTCATCCTCTTGAACTTCTTATGACTCCTCCCACCAGACTTAAAAACTATGAGTGCTTAATCCAAAAGTTGAAGAACTTGAACAGTTTTGGTTATGACTGTTTGGGCACTTTCTACCATATCTAGGCTAAACAATTATCAGAAACCTTAGAGGCAAGGAACTCTACAGTTGAGTCAACCATTTGAATGAGCCATGTGCCATTAATCAACACTTTATCCAGCTTCCTGAAAAGTGTATAATTACTCCTATTGCAGAGTGGTTCATCATATGGATAATCCAACACATCTATCTTCTGAAGACACGCTTGAAATTCTCTTGTGCTGAAGTTAGAACCCTATCATCCATCATAATGCGAGCTTTCACTTGGGGGCTATCACATTAAAATCCCCAGCTAGGATCCGTGAATAGCTTGTAATAATGCTTTGAATTATTGTCAGATGTGCCCATAATCTTTTCCTTTCACCTTCAATATTGCACCCATAGATGGCAGTGAGGCAAAACTTTTGGGCACCATTCATGATGTAACATGTAATGCTCAAGTTAATAGCATCAACAAACTCCACATTTAGTTCAGCTTTCCATAGAAGTCGAATTCGACCATTATAAGCATTATCATAATTGAGATACATTGACCAGCCAACAAAGTGGTTATCAAACACTTGCTACATGTTTTGCTACTTTATTCTAGTTTTTAATAAACAAGCAAAATTTGCTTTTATCCTCCTAATCCTATTTATAACTTCTTTTTGTTTCAGATAGGCATTTATCCCCCTAACATTCCAACTAAGTATATTTATGTAGAAGAGGAAGAAGCATTACCTCCTAAGGCTGAACTGTCAACCTTTACTTGCGTATTTTTCTCTTTATGTATAGAACCCTTTTTTGTAGTTTTCAGCTGCTTCATCAGATCAGCCACTCCAGCCGTAGTAGCCCTCATTTTCCTTGGTGAACCGAAGGTAGATAAATCTTCCTTTTGGTCCCGCATACTTGCCCCAACCATATTATGCACCAGCTCAGTCCTTTGTTGTAAATATTTAATTTTCAATTAAATTGTAATATTTAGCATTGTCAGCTGAATAATTAAAACTTTTATGTAAAATATGATGATGCAAAAAAAAAACAATAATGTAGATATTGGCTGAATTGTTGTGGTGGGTTTAAGTGTAAAAGCTGATGCGACATTACCAAAATACACTGCCTTAAAAGAGGGGAAACTCAAAACTGGGTAGACGGGACCATAGGAGAAGCTAGAAAAGCTAGAGTTGGAACGTTCATTGCTTTTTTGTGTGTGATTGGCTTGTTGTAGGCTTACTGGCTTGGTCTTTTTTTAAAGAGAAATTAGGCTTAATTAGGAGATTAGGATTTTGTTATTGACATTGAGGCAATTAGATGCTTACTTTTTCATAATAATTCATGAATGATTCCTTTCGCATGTGACAACTCTTCATTGGAGGAACATATGAGCTAAGATTGAAAATGACAACTAGTTTGTGAAAGCCTTAGTTCGATCACCATCCAAAATTTTATACCATTGAAAGCTTCTTGAATTGGAAGTTGCATTTATTTTTTTATAGTTCAAATTTTTTACGGCAATTAGATGCTTATGGTCTTTGTTTCTTGTGCCAATTTTGGGCATTTAATTAATTTTTTATTATTTTACATTTTATTTACACATATTCTATTAGCTAGTTTCTTTTTTTTTTTTTTTAAGTTTAAAATGTTATACATTTAATGAATTATTGTGTTCTTATTGAGTGATATGAGAGAAGAGATATAGCAATGTACAAGTA